CACCATGCTAGCTCAGGCTAACAAGCCCCTGCTGTTAGCACCACTGCTAGCTCAGGCTAACGGTTGGTTAGCTTTACACACCTACTCTCTCTGGGGAAATGAGAAGAATAAAAACATTCTGTTTGCAGTGTTCAATGCTCCGTCCCTTTCCTTCCTATAGTCTGCCACCAGAATGTAGTGAGGGTCACAGTGAGGGTCTGTAGGGGGCAGCGTAGAGCACAGGCTGCCATTTTAAAACCCCACACTACATGAAGAAAACGCGGTTATCAATGCCTCTTAATGTCATCCAAGAGTTGAGAGTAACTTAATATCAAAGCTATCAGTTGACTGTGGTGATATTTATGAAACAAATCACAAGAATTTCATAGATGTTTATATTTGTTAAAACAAAAAATAAATAAATAAATAAAAACTTTATTGATGTCACAATGGAGAAACTCATCACTCTCTGCATCTAACCCCTCCCCTTGGGGAGCAGTGTGCTGCCATTGTGCGGCTCCCGAGGAGCAGTGTGGAGTTAAGCTTCTTGAACCCAGATTGGCAGTCTATGGGGATCAAACCGGATATTTTCCAGTGGCGCCTCCAGAAATGTTTCAATGTGGGGAGGGGCAATGGGATGGCCAGTGGGGTCACGCCGCGCCGCGCGCCTCACCTCCTTCAGCAGGGTGGTGTCATGAGACGGCTGGTACTTCTCCCTGTCCTGAACCGTCTTCTTCTCCATCTTCTCCCGATCCGTCTTCAGTTTGCGATCCGCTCCTTTGGGCTGTAAACCAGAACAGGAAGGTTGGAGCGTGTTCGGCTCGGAACGCGGCGTCCTGACCAGCAGCTCCTACCTTGAAGACCTTGACCTGGCAGCTGGACGAATGAACATGCTCCACATATTCTCCATGGTCGGTGGAGGTGAAGGTGTCCACCTGGATGCGAAACGGAACGCCCTTCTCCCCGCCGTGCTTCCTGGGGGTGAACTCGGTGCTGATGCAGTTGACCTGAGGAGACACGGAGAAGTGAGACCAAACCCAGACCTCTGAGGGCGTTCGCTGGAGATCCGGAGCTACCTGGATGAAAACGGAGGCGTTCTTCAGGGGATCCCAGAGGAACTCGATGGTGTTGAGATGCAGAGGGTCTGAACGAGGTTCTATGACCCCCACTGAGAGGGGAATATCTGGGAGAAAAACACATTAGAGGTTCAGAGGGCCTCTGGTTCCCACCAAGCCTGAAGATGACTACACATCTTCATCAGGCTGAGCTCCTCCATGATCAGGTTCTACAGGAGAACATCTCACACCATCATCTCAGCACATTCAGCGAAAGGTCAGGGCGGGAAGCTCAGAGTCTAAAGGTCAAAGGTCATGACCCTGACCCAGTCTGGAAGGACTGAAGGTGAAAGCTTGGGCTGTGTCCAGATGTCCGCCCTAACCAGATGTTTGTCCGAACATCTAGTGGAGGAGAAAGTAGAGGACTCAACATTTCCCACCTTGAACAGCGGTGACCATCCATGGTTACTGGATGAGTATATATATCCCAGAATGCATTCTGGGATTTCCTGTCACAGCGGCGACTTATTGCAAAGCACAGAGAGGCGGAGTCACATGATCAACGGGGAGCGAAAGGTAGCGACTGTCTGTCCAAACGGTCAGTCCACCATATAGTCCCCGCTCCGTAGGACGGACAGTCAGTCACATCCTTCTTCTCTCCAGAACCAAGATGGAAGCAGAGCTTGGTTAGAAAAGCTGGACCTGGATGAAGGACAAGAGGTCTGGGACTATGTCCTCTGGACCAAGGAGAACCGAATCATGAGAACGGAACCATGAGGGACGGAACCAGGAGGGACAGAACTATGCGAGACGAAAAAACGAGAGACAGAACCATGACAGACGGAACCCTGAGGGACGGAACCATGAGGGACGGAACCATGAGGGACGGAACCAGGAGGGACAGAATCAGGAGGGGCGGAACCGGAAGGAATGGAACCTTGAAGGACAAAACCATGAAGGAAGCAACCATGAGAGACGGGACGGGGAGGAATGGAACCATGAGGGACGGAACCAGGAGGGCTGGAACCAGGAGGGACGGAACCGGGAGGGACGGGACCAGGAGGGACAGAACCAAGAGAGACAGAACCAGGAGGGACGGAACCATGCGAGACGAAAACACGAGAGACAGAACCATGACAGACGGAACCCTAAGGGACGGAACCAAGAGGGACGGAACCAGGAGGGACGGAACCAAGAGCGACGGAACCAGGAGGGACGGAACCAGGAGGGACGGAACCAGGAGGGAGAGAACCAGGAGGGAGAGAACCATGACAGATGGAACCATGAGGGACGGAACCATGAGGGACGGAACCATGAGGGACGGAACCAGGAGGGACGGAACCAAAGGGTACAGAATCATGAAGGACGGAACCATGGGGTACAGAATCATGAAGGACGGAACCATGGGGGATGGAACCAGGAGGGACGGAACCATGAGGGACGGAACCATTAGGGACAGAATCATGAGGGACAGAACCTGCTGGAGGAGTTGAGGTGATGTTACTGCAGGTCACCTATATCCAGGATCCGGTCTCCGGGTCGGTTCCACCTCCATCCCTCCAGCTGCTGGTGCTCCATGTACTGCAGGCGGCGGTCATGGAACACGATGCGGACGATGCTCTGCAGAGAAGCAGGTTTCAGGCTGAGGAACATCTGGATTCACTCACAGGAAACAAGACAAGAACGTCCTGACAGCTTCATCACCGTCCTCACTGATCTGGACTCCTGCAGGTCCAAAGGGACCCGGCTCAGAGATCGGACCCTCAGACCCACTGATCTGGACTCCTGCAGGTCCAAAGGGACCCGGCTCAGAGATCGGACCCTCAGACCCACTGATCTGGACTCCTGCAGGTCCAAAGGGACCCGGCTCAGAGATCGGACCCTCAGACCCTCTGATCTCCAGCTTTCCTGCAGCTTCAGATAAAGTCGGACATCTTTTCTGAGCTAACGGAAGCGGCTAATGCCCTGCAGCTCAGACGCTCCAATAAATCAATTATCGGTCTGTGGAGACGTTTATGGAAGGAGACTTCATGCATGACTGAGGACCACAGGTCAAACATCTCCTGGTCCTCCACGTCATCTGTTTGCACAGACGCCACCTGCCACATTTTTATTTTTCTAGGTTGCTAAAAGCTCCGGGTGATCAGCGACAGCCTGGCGACGGAGGCCCGTCAGGAGGGTCCGATCATGAAGCCAGACAGGAGAAGAAGAAGAAAACCACCTTCCACCTACCTTCACATACTTGCTGCTAATGACCGAATACTCCATTAGCTTCCTGTTTAGCATCCGGATTTCGTAGGACTGACCTACAATTAAAGAAAAGATTAAAGAAATCGCGGTTAGCATTTAAAAATAGCAAATAAGTCCAATTTATGTAGAAACCTTTCAGATCGGATCTGAAGACATAAGAAACACGTCTGAAGACTTATGTCCAGGAAAATCCACGGCCGCACTGAGCACGCTCCGTCTGACAGCGAGAGACTCCTCACATGCTAACCACGACACCGCTTCTTTCTGCACGTCAAAAATGCATTTCACAAACAGTATGCACAATTTGGAGGTGTTTGCGCTTCCACCCAGCCAACTCCCCAGGAAGTGCAGCAGTGGCTCAGTGGAGGAAACGCTCCACTGCTCACTAATAATGTTGTCCAGTACCAGCAGGGACCCAGTTGACCCTGGGTTTGGGGTGCAGGTGGCGCAGTGGTTAGCACACACAACCCATGCACAGAGGCCTTAGTCCTCGATGCGGCCGACCCGGGTTCGAATCCGATCTGTGGTCAATTTGCTGCATTTCTACTCACGCCCCTACTGTCCAAAAAGAATGGAGCCACTAGTGGGCGTGGCATGAAGCCGGTGTGGCACCAAGTCTGGTTGGTCCAAACATCCCTGACCCGCCATCAGTGCTGGAAGGCGGCAGCAGAACCCAAACAAACACTGAGACGACCATCCAGGTTCTACCAGGGAAGGACGTCCTCCTCCTTGACGCTGCGGTCAGGGTCAAGCATGAAGGGAACCAATGGCAGCCGGTGTCGGTGGATAAACCAGAACCGGTCTGTTCAGACGGGTTAGGGTTTGGCTCATGAGGAGAAACAAGAACCAGAACCAGGAGAACTTTGACAGGGTTTAAAATCACCTAGCGTAACGTTCTGAGAACACAGATCTACAGGCTGGAGGCGGAGCTTCATCTGAACCGCTGGTGGAAATCTGGAAGTTTAGGACTTTCACTGATTTATTTGATCTGGGATTGTTTTAGATCTCCACCTCAGTTGGACCTTGGTTCTGAAGGCATCACAGAATTTCTAGGTGTTTATTTGCTTTGATCCACCTTAATCTGGGTTCAGGATCATAGTTCTGCTCCGGTTCTACCCAACGGTGGAACCTGCTGGAACACTAGAAACAGTTTAACACCTTTACGGACCGAGACGGTTCTGACCCGGTGCAAATCAACACCTCCCACCTGGACTTAATACACTATATTGCCAAAAGTATTTGCTCACCCATCCAAATTATTGGAATCAGGTGTTCCAATCACTTCCATGGCCACAGGTGTATAAATTCAAGCACCTAGGCATGCAGACTGTTTTTACAAACATTTGTGAAAGAATGGGTCGCTCTCAGGAGCTCAGTGAATTCCAGCGTGGAACTGTGATAGGATGCCACCTGTGCAACAAATCCAGTCGTGAAATTTCCTCGCTCCTAAATATTCCACAGTCAACTGTCAGCTGTATTATAAGAAAATGGAAGTGTTTGGGAACGACAGCAACTCAGCCACGAAGTGGTAGGCCACGTAAACTGACGGAGCGGGGTCAGCGGATGCTGACGCGCATAGTGCGAAGAGGTCGCCAACTTTCTGCAGAGTCAATCACTACAGACCTCCAAACTTCATGTGGCCTTCAGATTAGCTCAAGAACAGTGCGCAGAGAGCTTCATGGAATGGGTTTCCATGGTCGAGCAGCTGCATCCAAGCCATACATCACCAAGTGCAATGCAAAGCGTCGGATGCGGTGGTGTAAAGCACGCCGCCACTGGACTCTAGAGCAGTGGAGACGCGTTCTCTGGAGTGACGAATCGCGCTTCTCCATCTGGCAATCTGATGGACGGGTCTGGGTTTGGCGGTTGCCAGGAGAACGGTACTTGTCTGACTGCATTGTGCCAAGTGTAAAGTTTGGTGGAGGGGGGATTATGGTGTGGGGTTGTTTTTCAGGAGCTGGGCTTGGCCCCTTAGTTCCAGTGAAAGGAACTCTGAATGCTTCAGCATACCAAGACATTTTGGACAATTCCATGCTCCCAACTTTGTGGGAACAGTTTGGAGCTGGCCCCTTCCTCTTCCAACATGACTGTGCACCAGTGCACAAAGCAAGGTCCATAAAGACATGGATGACAGAGTCTGGTGTGGATGAACTTGACTGGCCTGCACAGAGTCCTGACCTCAACCCGATAGAACACCTTTGGGATGAATTAGAGCGGAGACTGAGAGCCAGGCCTTCTCGTCCAACATCAGTGTGCGACCTCACAAATGCGCTTCTGGAAGAATGGTCAAAAATTCCCATAAACACACTCCTAAACCTTGTGGACAGCCTTCCCAGAAGAGTTGAAGCTGTTCTAGCTGCAAAGGGTGGACCGACGTCATATTGAACCCTATGGATTAGGAACGGGATGTCACTTAAGCTCATATGTGAGTCAAGGCAGGTGAGCAAATACTTTTGGCAATATAGTGTACCTGGGGGCTGTGAGGCACGGTGGTGGCAGAATGATGGTGCGGCTCTGTTTCCGCTCCCACTGGTACTGGTCCATTCCAGAAACTAACTGGTTCTACTGAGGCTTGCTTGAGGCCAAAAGGTTATAAACCATCTGATATGGAGAGTTTATTAGGTCGGCCTGCTGTTTTATGCACATACTCAACATCTGGGTATCTGGTGGGGGTACGCATCTGTCTGGACCGGTACCAGAACTCTGGACCCGTCCTATTAACAGACTGAACTGCAGGGGGGGGGCAGTTCAGTCTGTTTGACAGGAACTTTATTCATATTTCTAATGTCATGAATTTGGTAAATCAATATTCCTAAAAAGCTAAAAAATCAATCCTCTGGACTTTGTTTCCAAGTTTGAAGACGTTTCTCTTCCATCCAGGAAGATTTTTCAATCCAAAATGTCAGAAATAGCGTTTAGTTCCAGGTTTTATCCAGCAGCCCAACAAAGCCTGGTTTTAGTTTAGAAAACATGCAAATAGAAACGGATGAACGGGTCCCCCCCTTTGGAATGGGGGTCGTTTGGCTTCTTTGTTAGCCTGCAATGCCCCATACCTGTCTATGTCTCTGAAAGGGGGGGCGTTAGAGGGAATAGTTGGCCTGGATGAACAGGTGAGGTCTGCGTTGAAGGTTTTTGAAAGCTGAAATCTTGTTTAAGGTTGGTTTTTCTTTCTTAACATAGATGGCTTCCTTCACGCCCCTCAGACCACCTGTCCTCTTCGTCCAAAATGTGAACATTCTGGTCCTCACATGAATGTCCTTTGTCCTGAAGGTGCAGGTGGACAGCAGTCTGGTCCAGAGGAGGCATATAGATCTTCAATCTAGATGCTATTTCTGTCATATTGAACTGAAAAATCTTCCCTGGATGGGAAGCAGCTGGAGGTAGGATGATGGATGGATGGATGGATGGATGGATGGATGGATGGATGGATGGATGTTGGATGGATGGATGGATGGATGGATGGATGGATGGATGGATGGATGGAGGGAGGGATGTTGGATGGATGGATGGATGGATGGATGGATGGATGGATGGATGGATGGATGGATGGATGGATGGATGGATGGATGGATGGATGGATGGATGGATGGATGGATGGATGGATGGAGGGAGGGAGGGATGGATGGATGGATGGATGGATGGATGGATGGATGGATGGATGGATAATGGATGGATGGATGGATGGATGGATAATGGATGGATGGATGGATGGATGGAAGAATGATGGATGGATGGATGGATGGATGGATGGATGGATGGAGGGAGGGATGTTGGATGGATGGATGGATGGATGGATGGATGGATGGATGGATGGATGGATGGATGGAGGGAGGGAGGGATGGATGGATGGATGGATGGATGGATGGATGGATGGATAATGGATGGATGGATGGATGGATGGATAATGGATGGATGGATGGATGGATGGATGGAAGAATGATGGATGGATGGATGGATGGATGGATGGATGGATGGATGGATGGATGGATGGATGGATGGATGGATGGATGGATGGATGGATGGATGGATGGATGTTGGATGGATGGATGGATGGATGGATGGATGGATGGATGGATGGATGGATGGATGGATGGAGGGAGGGATGTTGGATGGATGGATGGATGGATGGATGGATGGATGGATGGAGGGATGTTGGATGGATGGATGGATGGATGGATGGATGGATGGAGGGATGGATGGATGGATGGATGGATGGATGGATGGATGGATGGAGGGAGGGATGTTGGATGGATGGATGGATGGATGGATGGATGGATGGATGGATGGATGGATGGAGGGATGGATGGATGGATGGATGGATGGATGGATGGATGGATGGATGGAGGGAGGGATGTTGGATGGATGGATGGATGGATGGATGGATGGATGGATGGATGGATGGAGGGATGGATGGATGGATGGATGGATGGATGGATGGATGGATGGATGGAGGGAGGGATGTTGGATGGATGGATGGATGGATGGATGGATGGAAGCTAAACGTCTTCAAACTTGGAAATAAAGTCCAGTGGATTATTTTTTAGCAACTATGACCTGGATGCCTGAGAATCTTTACCAGCATATATCAAAATATTTATCTTTTTGTTTAAGTCTTTTAAAACCAAAATGTTTTAAATATCTGGTCAGACTTGATTTAAAATTTATTAAGTATAAAATAAATCTCAGGAATCTGTCTGATTTTTTTTCTCCCTGAAACATCAGAGTTTATTCTGTTTTGTTTATCCTCATCTGCTGTTACTCTTATTTTTTCTCTATTTTGACCCAGTCAGTGGCGGGTTCTGGTTCCAGGACCCGTTTCCAGAGGTTCTGACCATAAGCTGGATTTCTGGCTGCATGAAGTCAATCTTTAACTGGTTTTAGGTTTCATCGGGTCACAAACGTTCAGTTAAAACCTGGAACCTGCAGAACCCGTCTGGTTCTGTACTCTGACCCGCCTGACCCTGCGCCCAGGAGGTCCGGTTGGTACCTTGGTTCAGGTAGGACAGCGTCTCCTCCTGCTGTTTGACGGCCGGCGATGTGGCCGCGCACAGTACGTACTGGAAGGGCCCCCCCTTGGCGCCGCTCTCCGCTCTCAGTCGGGCTTCTTCGTTCTTCAGGAACGGCGCCAGAGCCTCCCTGCAGAGAAGGACAGAGCAGACTGAACCTCCTCCAGCTCCCGGCCATCCCGCGGCCTCCAGCTGCTCCCCTTCAGATGTTAATGGTTATAGAGCTTCTAATAATAGAGCGGAGCGGATGGAGGCTGCAGCTCTTATCTAATCACAGGAACAAAGGGTCCGAAGGCTGATGTTCCAAACTCCAACATTCTTGTTGCAGAACAAACAATTCTAGTTAAAAAGTCCGGTTTCTGCAGAGTTCTGGAGGAAATCCGGGTCCGGGTCCAAGCGGAGGCCTTACCTGATGTAGCTGGAGGAGTTCTGGTGGTAGGACTCGGGCTGCGGGTGGCAGAACAGCATGTTCTCCAGATCGGTACCAGGACAACGGACCAGGCGTCAGACGCAGAGATGAGCTGGCTGGGTTCCTTCATGCTTCCGCCCGCCAGCCGCCTCTTATACCGTCCTGCCTGGGCGACCCGTGGGAGGCGGGGTCTGCCGGCACACCTCCTTCAGCGGTACCAATGCCTGCCCCCCCGGAGAGAGGACGGGTGGGCCGCCCGGGCCCCTGCTGTTCCTACGGTAACGTGTGAGGAGACGCTGCCGCAGCAGCTGCTGCGCGCCGCAGATCTCAAAGTCTGCTCGGGTTAATGTTTATCTGGAGCCGCTCAGAACCCACAATGACAAAGGTCCAAACGGAACGACCCGCCGCGGCTTCATTCACAACAAACAACATGTCTGCTGCAGCCTGAAGCCTGCAGAAAGCATTCCCACCCCAAAGACCCACATGTTCCAGAACCCTGGAGCGACCCAAACCAGGCAAAGACGCCCTGAGGGATCAGCCCCTAAACGCTGCTGGTTCCTCCCTGATCACTGGTACCAGGTCCAGATCTCAGAGGAGACGGGTTGATTGGACCAAACGGGCCACTGGTTCCGTCCAGTTTCAGAGCGTTTAACGGAACCGGACCTGCTGCTGGGTGATCAGAATACCCAGCTGAGCGAGCAGCTCAATAACCTCACAGAGTTCTGCAGAACCCAGGGAACTGGTCCTGGAAGCACAGAACCCTTCAGAACCTCAGGCGGGTCCAGCGGACCCTGTGAACGGGCCCAACAGGTCATGGAAAACCTCCAGACCCGTTCTAGCTGAACTCCCGGGTCAAAGTACGCCCCTCTGATTACACCATCAGTCCCGGCACCACAGATGCTCCATGTGGAAATTTACCTGAGGAGGAACCGCGGCTGGGAGCCGGACCACAGTTCTCCGAAGTTCTGCTGCAGTGTTTGGATAAACTGGGAGTTCTGGGAAAGAAGGTCAGAACAAAGGTCCGGTTCTGAAGGAACACTGAACCAGAAATAGCGGGTTTGGGGGGGTCAGCTCATCCAGAACCCTCGATGGACCCTTAACGGGGAGTTAATTGATCTCCAAACCCAGAAGGCTTCTGAAAATTAGCTGCTGGGACCAGCTGTGGGGTCAGAGGTCATGATGCATCATCATTTTCCTTTTGTTTATCGTTCTATTCAGCTCTTTGAAAGAGCTTTATACAGTGAGGAGAATAAGTATTTGACCCCCTGCTGTTCATCATAGGTGCACCTCCACTGTTAGAGACACAATATAAAAATAATCCAGAAATCACAATCTATGATTTTTTTAACTCTTTATTTGCATGATTCAGCTGAAAATAAGTATTTAAACACCATTAAGCTAATTCTGCTCCTCAAAGTCCTGTTAGTCTGCCTTCCAAAGGTCCGCCGCCATTTATTCTCCTAGATTAGACGCACCTGTCTGAGGTGGTTAGATGCATAAAGACACCTGTCCCCCCCCCCCAGACTATCAGGAAGAACCCAGCTACTAACATGACCCAGACTAAAGAACTGTCCTCCTCCACCAGGCTGGAAACGGCTGCAGGGAAATAACCGAACAGCTTGGTGGAAAAAGCTCCGCTGTTGGAGCTTCATTAGAAAATGGAAGAAGCTAAACATGGCTGACAATCTGCCTCAGACTGGAGGATCTCACCTGGTGGGCCTCACTGATCCTAAGAAAGGTGAGAAATCAGCCCAGAACTAACGCTGGTCAATGACCTGGAAAGAGCCTGGACCGTTTCCATGGTTACTGATGGCAATACACTAAGATGTCACGGTTTGAAATCATGCATGGCATGGAAGGTTCCCCTGCTTAGACATGCACATGTCACGGCCCAACTTCAGTTTGCCATTGACCAATGGGAAACACTAAGCATGCTTGTAGCGACAGTGGAGAGGAAAAACTCCCTTTGAACAGGAAGAAACCTCCAGCAGAACCAGGCTCAGTGTGAGCGGCCATCTGCTGAGGCCCACTGGGGTTCAAGGAGACAGAAGCAGACATAGAAAAAGAAGCATAGATACAAAAGGCAACTGTCAACCAGCTCCACAGGCGGCCCCGTCCAGGAAACACACAGCCAGGCAGACGAGCTCCGAGCCAGCTCCCATGTCAGAGGATGAAGAGAGCACATCCAGTATGAAGCATGGGGGTGGCAGCATCATGCTTTGGGGATGTTTTTCTGCACATGGGACACAGTGACTGCACAGGATGAGCGGTGATCATGTATTGATTCTGGTGATAAACCTCCTGCCCTCAGTGAGAGCAGTGAAGATGGGTGGAGGCTGGGTCTTCCAGCATCACAATGAGCCGAAGCACACAGACAGGATAACCAAGGAGCGGCTCTGGAAGAAGCAGATCTAGGTTCTAGCATGGCCTAGCCACTCTCCAGACCTAAACCCAATAGAGAATCTTCGGAGGGAGCGACAGTCCAGAAACCTGACTGATCTAGAGTAGATCTATGTGAAGGAGTGAGCTAAAATCCCTCCTGCAGAGCAAACCTGCTGAAAAACTACAGGAAACCTTTGACCTCTGAGATCAAAGGCTACTGCACCAAATATTAACATAGATTTCTAAGGTGATCAAACACTAACTTTCAGCAGAATAATCCAATAAATATTTAAAAACTCACAGATTGTGATTTGTTTTCTTTGATGATGTCTCTCAGTGGAGACATCATCCACCTGTGGGGACGATTTCAGACCCTCCCTGGTTTCTAGGTGGGAGAACTTTCCTCACTGTTATTATAAATAAAGTTATTTTAATGAACCGCTTCTATCTTCTGTCATTTTCTCTGTTTATCTTCCATCAGCACGACGCCTGAGGGGCGGAGCCTGAGGGGCGGGGCATGAGGGGCGGGGCATGAAGGGCGGAGCTAGAGATCCATTCACGGCACTGATTCTGCATCCGTCCCTAAAGACAAGCTGGACTTCAGTTCTGACCCAAATGGGTTCTTTGGTTCTGAACTAAAGTCCAAACAGAATGGCAGAGCGCCCGTCTGCAGCAGTTTCTATCTATGCTCATATTTCTACTTCATGTTTTTGATATGAACATGTGAGCTGAGTTTCCAGAACCAAAACCAGATCCAGGTCTGAGTCTGTTGTTCAGAAACAGAAACTTTATTGTCACTAAATGTTGGACACAGAGACGCTTCAGTTCTTCTTAAAATGTAAAAGTTTGGATAGAACAGAATCTATTCTATTCTGTTCTAATTCATCTATTCGTTCTTTTCTATTCTGTCTATTTGGTCATGTTCTATATATTCGGCCATATCTATTCTACTCTGTTCTATCCGATCGTGTCCCATCTATTCTATTCCATCTATTCTATTCTGGTACCAGATGGTTAGACCCGACCGCCTTCAGAACCTTTAGGTTTCTGTCCTCTCCTTCTGGACCCGGATCCGGTCAATCAGAACCGCCTGGACCAGGGTCCATTTTAGAGGCCCAGAAGACCCGGTCAGCTAGAGACATGGCTGATCATAGAACACAATAGAATAGATAGGACTTGCTGTTCAACCTGAAACTCTGTGGAGGATTGGATGGACTCACCGTACGGCACCGGTCCACAGAACCCCGGATAACGGGCCGGTTCTGGAGGCGCCGGCCGGCCGGATCCGGTTCCTGAAATGATCTCAATCATCGAAGCACCGAACAGATCAGAACCAGAACCAGAACTCTTTCCTCAGTTCGTTTATTTCCATCTGTCATCAGAACCGGTTCTGTACAGTTTATCAATCGGACCAAAGGAACCCAAACAGGATTAAATAAAACATAAATAAAATCTGGGTTCTGGTGCCGACCCGTCTGGATCACCCAGAACCTCTGCGCCGCCAGACCAGACGTCCATTTCAGTACCGATTCAAAAGTTCTAGTTCTGCTGAATCTCGACTGGCGGCCCGGTTCGAGGGCCCAGCAGAACTCGGGTTGTTCTTCAGAACCAGCGACGTGAAGAAGTGCACTTTATAGGAGGCGGGTCCAAAGGAGGCTCCGCCCACATGCAGGCCAACGTGCAAACAGTCTATGTACAGAACCAGAACCAGAACCTGCTGCTGCCGGGGTTCTGGTTCTCCAGCCAGGGGACCGGGTCGGTTCCTGCTGTCAGAACCAGAACCAGGAGCTCTGATCCAATCACAGAACCTACTGCTTGTCCAGTCGGACCGGGTACAGAGGTTCTTCCAAATTCAGAACCAGAGACCCGAGTCCAGCGGAGCGAACTCAGAACCCAGCATTCATGGTACCAGAACCAAGTGGATCCAACAAACTCCAAGATTCTGGATCAGAACCAGAACCTCAGCTTCTCCTGGTTCTGGACCTGGATGATCCACAAAGAAGTCTGATCAGAACCAGAACCGGATTGTTTAAAGCAAAATGTCTTTAGAAAAGAAACGATCGATGCAGAACGGGTCAAAAGTTCTGGTTCTGCTTCTGAAACCGGGCCTCGTGGTGAACAGCATGAAGGATGGTGGAGGAGCGGTTCTGGAAGAGCGGGGCGGTTCTGGAGGAGCGCAGCGGTTCTGGAGGAGCGCAGCGGGTCCAGAGGAGCGGGGCGGTTCTGGTAGAAACAGTCAGAACTTCAGAGGAAGCAGCGGCGCTGATCCGCTTCTGTCCACCTGATGGAGGATCAACAGAACCAGCAGGCAGCGTTGGACAGGGAAGGTTCTGGCCCGCCGGCTGGTTCTGGTTCCGGCCCGTGGGCCAGCTGGTTCTGGTTCCGGCCCGCGGGCCTTAGCTGTGGGAGGAGACGTCGGAGGAGCTGCTGCTGTTGCTGTTGGTGGTTTGGGCCCGTTTGATGTAGAGGTTCAGGAGCTTCATCTGCAAACAGAACCAGAACCAGTGTTAACTGGACCCAGACGGGCCCGGTTCTGTCAACATAAACATCAGATTTTTACTGTAAGGAAGGAACCGGACCGGGGCCCGGTAAACAGAACCCAGAGGTTCCAACACCTGGACCCACAGAACTGAGGACAACCAAAACCTCTGGGTCTCTCAGTTCTGGTCCGGTTCTACGGCTCTGAGTGAGACCAGAACCACTGCTGACCCACAAGAACACAGTAATGGACCCGTTATATCTGAGTTAGCAGAACCAGAACATTTAGGCGGCCTCGTCAAAGTACAGACGCTGGGTTGTGACTTTGAACCAAATGAAATGGGTTCAGCAAAGCGGGTCAGAACCTCTCAGCTGTTGGTTCCAGAACTCAGAACGGATCCTTCTAGAACTCTGGACACAATCAGAACCTTCGCTGGAGATGAGGTCCAAACAGATAGTCCTGGTACTGGAATGAAGTGGGTCCAGTTACCAACAGAGACAGAACCACAGAACCCAAACGGACCCGGACCAGCCGGATGGATCTGAGCTGGACTAAACAGAACCTGGACCAGAACTTCCTCCCTGACCCGTTCCCACCTCATGGTTCCAGAGCGGTTCTGTGAGCCCGTCTGATCCGGCTGCGTGTAGAACCGGTCCGGCTCCGGGCTTTGACTAGGCAGTTATAGCAGCCGTTCCAGATGTTCTGCCGGGTTTGGGTTTAAAGTTCTGGTGCTGACCCGGTTCGGACTGAGCCCCCCGGTTGGGACTGAGCCCCCCGGTTGGGACTGAGCCCCCCGGTTGGGACTGAGCCCCCCGGGGCGGCGCTGCTCCACCGCAGGTTCTGTCTGTTAGCGGTCCTGATGTTTTGGATCAGCGCGGTTCTGGTAGGAGGACGGTTAGAACCGGACTCTGGACCTGAGAGGAGGTCCAAATATGGCGGCGTGATGTCACTCCTCAGGTTCTGTCCAGTCAGGTGGGCCTGACCCGCTCAGCTGAACTTTACATAAGTGAAGGACACGTAGAGGTTCTGCTACGGTCCGACCGGCTGGAACCGGCTGGGAGGCAACAACATGGGAAGCAGATAAGCGCCGCCGTCTGCTGCGCGGCGGCCTGGCGTGTGTGTGTGTGTGTGTGCGTGTGTGTGTGCGTGTGTGTGTGTGTGTGTGTGTGTGTGTGTGTGTGTGTGCTACCTTGCTGCCCGTCAGCTGAGCCAGGTGTGGTTTGAGCTCCTCTCCAATGACGGCGTAAATGGCCACCAGGCAGAACACGCTGGCCTTGCGAACGCTGCTCTCTGTGTTGTCATAGCCCTGCAGCAGAAACACAGCAGCATCAGGCGGCGAGCGTGCGCGCCGCCCGCACGTGCGCACACACCCACGGCGGGTCGGCGGGAACGTGGGAGGAGTCCGGCGGGAGCAGAGTGCACACAAACATTTCCAGGGACAAATAAGGCAAATAATTCCCCCTGTCCAAATATGAACATTGTCCAAATAAGCCTCCCAGGAAGCGTCATGGAAGTTTCTGCTCCCGCCGCCCGCCCCCACGCCAGTGGAACCGGGTCGCCTACCTGCAGCAGTCCGGGGATGATGTCTGGCAGCAGCTGCAGTAGCGAATCCTTGGCGATGCGCTCGATTACTTTGGTCTGCATCTTGATGGCGGCCAGGTTGATGGGGTAGTCGGCGGTCTGGACGATCGGGCACAGAACCTTGATGCACTGCTCTGGGTGGATGGACGCGGCCAGCGTGGTCGCCGCCTCCTCGGCCGCACGCACCACCTGAGACGGGAAGACGACATCAGAACCAGCAGAGGACGCCGCGTCTCATCAGAACCTTCCACACCAAACGGCTGTTTGCATCACAGCGTCCAGCAGGACGATCAGAGCAGACCTCATGGACCCGATGGGTTCCACCCGGGTCACAGCTTTACACCAGGGTTCTGGTGTCGGCCCGGTTCTGATTTAGAAACATTTTCATGACAACTAATTGATTGTTGATGTCTGAATATTGTTCTGTATATCGCTATGGTAACTGTACTTTTTCAATAAATAAACCCAGTATTTTATAGGTTCAAAGAGACAAAAAAATCAGTTTTTTATTCTTTCCACTGTTGGTCTGTTTTGATCAAATAGAAATAGAGGCCTTGTTTTTTTTTTTTTTTTTTTTTTTTTTATATTCCATACTGCCTTGGAATTTATTGTTTACTGAGTTAACTAAAATAAATAAATTAAGATCGAAAAAAAAAAAAAGAAATAGAGGCCTGCCTCTAATTCTGGCCTCCTTCCAATAATGGCCTGGACCAAGATGCACCTGAGTGAAATAAAGGCCCCGGCCTATATTAGAGGATTTAAGGTAAAAACATTTAAAGAGGAAAAAGAGGGAAAAAACTGAAATTAAACTATAAAACCATCAGAGGGAAGATCCTGGCTGCGTCTAAATGTCCGCCCTAACAGCTATATAGAGATTACGCCATTTTAGACGAGTGTCCGAACGTCTAACGGATGAAAAAGTGGTGGACTCGAAATTTGAACGTGAAAAGTAGTGAGCTTCCATGGTTACTAGACAAGCAGATATATCCCAGAATGCTTTGCCCTGAGAGTTCTCCTTGCAAAGCATTATGGGATTTGTTGACACAGCAGACCGCTTCCACAGCGTCCAAAAATAATAAGGATGTTCGTGCATCATGTGGGGAGGCGGAGTCATGTGACGGTTAGCATTACGTAGCTTCAGCATTATAGGTACTGGTAGCATTAGGTACTGTTGAAATTTGGTAGCATTAGGTACTGTAAGCATTAGGTAGCATTAGGTACTGTTAGCATTAGGTAGCATTGGGTACCGCTAGCATTAGGTACTGTTAGCATTAGGTAGCATTAGGAACTATTAGCAATAGGTAGCATTAGGTACCCAGCATTATAGGTACTGTTAGCATTAGGTACTGTTAGCATTAGGTAGCATTGGGTACCGCTAGCATTAGGTACTGTTAGCATTAGGTAGCTTCAGCATTAGAGGTACTGGTAGCATTAGGTACTGTTGAAATTTGGTAGCATTAGGTACCGTTAGCATTAGTTAGCATTAGGTCCTGTTAGGATTAGGAAGCATTGGGTACAGCTAGAATTAGATACTGTTAGCATTAGGTAGCATTAGGTACTGTTAGCATTAGGTAGCATTAGGAACTATTAGCATTAGGTAGCATTAGATACTGTTAGCATTAGGCAGCATCGGGTACCGCTCGCATTAGGTACTGTTATCAAAAGGTGACATTAGGTACAGTTAGCATTAGGAAGAGTTAGGTAATTTTAGCAATAGGTAGCGTTAGGTGCAGTTAGCATTAGGTAGCGTTAGCTTAAGTTAGCATTAGGTAGCGTTAGGTGCAGTTAGCATTAGATAGCGTCAGGTGCAGTTAGCATTAGGTAGCTTTAGTATTATGTAGCGTTAGGGAAAGTTCGCATTATATAGCATTTAGTTCTGTTATTGTTAGGTACTATTAGCGTTAGGAAGCGTTAGGTAAAGTTAGCATTGTCTGGTATAAGAAGTTCTAGAGGAGCAGAACCAGAACCCTCCTGGACCCGGTCACCTCTTTATGGGAGTCTTTGTGAGCCTCCAGGGTCTTCATGATGGTCAGTTCAGCGTAGTTCCTGAAGCGGACCGGCTGGTTCCTCAGGATCTCCTTCAGAACTCGCAGAGCCAGAGCCCGGATGGTGTGCTGCTCAGAGATGGGAACAAAGAACACATTCAGCGGATACCGGCCCAAAGCCCCGATCCAGTCCTCATTTCTCTGGTGACTCTCAGAACTGCTGGACCTTCTGGGACTGAGTCAATAGAGCTACTGGTAGAGAAGACCTGTAAAGGAGGACTGGCCCAGTTTAACCAGTGAGGGGAACAGGAGTGGGAACCAGAACCCAGTTAACCTACGTCTTTGTCACACAGCGTCTCCAGCAGCAGCAGCAGGATGGTCTTAAAGTGCTCGTCCCACACCGCCGCGTTGTCCTCCCGTGTGATCTTCAGCAGCTCCACCAGGGCTCCTTTACGCTCCTCACAGCGCTCGTTGTGATTGGACAGCTCCTTCAGCAGGTCAGCCACCAGGTCCGAGTTATCGGGACCGACTGCTCGGACGGGAGAGGACGAAACAGAAGGTATCAGATGAAGCTGTTAGTCAGGCAGGTGAGCAGAAAGTGGGTGGAGTCACAGGACGATGGAGGGACAGACGAGGGAAGGAGAGGCGGAGTCAGGGAGCGTGTTTACCCGGAGGAAAGGCTTTGGGAAGACTGGTCTGGATTCCTCCTGATTCCGGCCGCCGGCCTGCGGAAGAGGAGGAGGATGAAGGTGGAGGATGGGAGGGGGGAGCAACAGACAGCAGGATGGAGACACATCGGATCTGATGGACCCAAAACTAAAGGTTCTGATGGAACCAAACTAAAGGTTCTAAATGACCTAAAACTAAAGGTTCTGATGGAACCAAACTAAAGGTTCTAAATGACCTAAAACTAAAGGTTCTAAATGACCTAAAACTAAAGGTTCTGATGGAACCAAACTAAAGGTTCTAAATGACCTAAAACTAAAGGTTCTGATGGAACCAAACTAAAGGTTCTAAATGACCTAAAACTAAAGGTTCTGATGGAACCAAACTAAAGGTTCTAAATGACCTAAAACTAAAGGTTCTGATGGAACCAAACTAAAGGTTCTGATGGACCCAAAACTAAAGGTTCTGATGGACCTTAAACTAAAGGTTCTGATGGAACCAAACCAAAGGTTCTGATGGAACCAAACTAAAGGTTCTGATGGAACCAAACCAAAGGTTCTAAATGACCTAAAACTAAAGGTTCTGATGGAACCAAACCAAAGGTTCTGATGGAACCAAACCAAAGGTTCTGATGGAACCAAACCAAAGGTTCTAAATGACCTAAAACTAAAGGTTCTGATGGAACCAAAACAAAGGTTCTGATGGACCTTAAACTAAAGGTTCTGATGGAACCAAACCAAAAGGTTCTGATGGAACCAAACCAAAGGTTCTGATGGACCTACAACTAAAGGTTCTAATGGACCTAAAACTAAAGGTTCTGATGGACCTAAAACACATGTTCTGATGGAACCAAACCAAAGGTTCTGATGGACCTAAAACTAAAGGTTCTACTGGACCCAAAACAAAAGTTCTGATGGAACCAAACCAAAGGTTCTGATGGACCGAAAACTAAAGGTTCTGATGGACCTAAAACTAAAGGTTCTGATGGACCCAAACCAAAGGTTCTGATGGAACCAAACCAAAGGTTCTGATGGACCGAAAACTAAAGGTTCTGATGGACCTAAACCAAAGGTTCTGATGGAACCAAACCAAAAGTTCTGATGGAACCAAACCAAAGGTTCTGATGGAACCAAACCAAAAGTTCTGATTGAACCAAACTAAAGGTTCTGATGGAACCAAACCAAAGGTTCTGATGGACCGAAAACTAAAGGTTCTGATGGACCTAAAACTAAAGGTTCTGATGGATCTAAAACTAAAGGTTCTAATGGACCCAAAACAAAAGTTCTGATGGAACCAAACCAAAGGTTCTGATGGACCTAAAACTAAAGGTTCTGATGGACCTAAAACTAAAGGTTCTGATGGAACCAAACCAAAGGTTTTGATGGACCCAAACCAAAGGTTCTGATGGACCCAAACCAAAGGTTCTGATGGAACCAAACCAAAGGTTCTGATGGACCGAAAACTAAAGGTTCTGATGGACCTAAACCAAAGGTTCTGATGGAACCAAACCAAAAGTTCTGATGGAACCAAACCAAAGGTTCTGATGGAACCAAACCAAAAGTTCTGATGGAACCAAACTAAAGGTTCTGATGGAACCAAACCAAAGGTTCTGATGGACCGAAAATTAAAGGTTCTGATGGACCTAAAACTAAAGGTTCTGATGGACCCAAACCAAAGGTTCTGATGGAACCAAACCAAAGGTTCTGATGGAACCAAACCAAAAGTTCTGATGGACCTAAAACTAAAGGTTCTGATGGACCCAAACCAAAGGTTCTGATGGACCTAAAACTAAAGGTTCTGATGGAACCAAACCAAAGGTTCTGATGGACCTAAAACTAAAGGTTCTGATGGACCTAAAACTAAAGGTTCTGATGGACCTTAAACTAAAGGTTCTGATGGAACCAAACCAAAGGTTCTGATGGACCGAAAACTAAAGGTTCTGATGGACCTAAAACTAAAGGTTCTGATGGAACCAAACCAAAGGTTCTGATGGACCGAAAACTAAAGGTTCTGATGGACCTAAAACTAAAGGTTCTGATGGACCTAAAACTAAAGGTTCTGATGGAACCAAACCAAAGGTTCTGATGGACCCAAAACAAAGGTTCTGATGGAACCAAACCAAAGGTTCTAATGGACCCAAACCAAAGGTTCTGATGGACCCAAACCAAAGGTTCTGATGGAACCAAACTAAAGGTTCTGATGGACCGAAAACTAAAGGTTCTGATGGACCTAAAACTAAAAGTTCTGATGGAACCAAACCAAAGGTTCTGATGGACCCAAAACAAAGGTTCTGATGGAACCAAACCAAAGGTTCTGATGGACCTAAAGCTAAAGGTTCTGATGGAACCAAACCAAAGGTTCTGATGGACCTGAAACTAAAGGTTCTGATGGACCTAAAACTAAAGGTTCTGATGGAACCAAACCAAAGGTTCTGATGGACCTAAAACTAAAGGTTCTGATTGAACCAAACTAAAGGTTCTGATGGACCGAAAACCAAAGGTTCTGATGGAACCAAACCAAAAGTTCTGATGGAACCAAACCAAAGGTTCTGATGGAACCAAACCAAAAGTTCTGATGGACCTAAAACTAAAGGTTCTGATGGACCTAAAACTAAAGGTTCTGATGGACCCAAACCAAAGGTTCTGATGGACCTAAAACTAAAGGTTCTGATGGAACCAAACCAAAGGTTCTGATGGACCTAAAACTAAAGGTTCTGATGGACCTTAAACTAAAGGTTCTGATGGAACCAAACCAAAGGTTCTGATGGACCGAAAACTAAAGGTTCTGATGGACCTAAAACTAAAGGTTCTGATGGAACCAAACCAAAGGTTCTGATGGACCCAAAACAAAGGTTCTGATGGAACCAAACCAAAGGTTCTGATGGACCCAAAACAAAGGTTCTGATGGAACCAAACCAAAGGTTCTAATGGACCCAAACCAAAGGTTCTGATGGACCCAAACCAAAGGTTCTGATGGAACCAAACTAAAGGTTCTGATGGACCTAAAGCTAAAGGTTCTAATGGACCTTAAACTAAAGGTTCTAAATGACCTAAAACTAAAGGTTCTGATGGAACCAAACTAAAGGTTCTGATGGACCTTAAACTAAAGGTTCTAAATGACCTAAAACTAAAGGTTCTGATGGACCTAAAACGGTACCGGTTCTGAATGTGAACGGTAGGAGGTTCTGTGTGGCGCCCCCCTCCTGCAGAGACTCACAGTCGCGGAACTGCTCCACGTCGTCGTCGAACACGGCCTCCTTCAGGGCGCTCTTGTCGTAGATGGTGTCGCCGTATCCGTACGGGGAGAACTCGCGGGTCCTGGGCCCAGAGAAGGAGCGCGGCGACGGCGTGTTCAGCAGCGACGTCTTGTTGTCCAGAGCCGTGCGGCCGCCTTCCACCACGTCCAAACCCAGACGGGCCTCAGAACCCGGAGAGGGCGCCACGCCTTCCCGTCCCACCTGCTGGACAGGAGAGCAGGACCTCAGATACACAACAGAACCAGAACCACTGGGCTACATGATCCGAGTTAACATGATTCCCACTGAAACTGGCCCCTCCCATTAACAGGTTCCCACTGTCGGACACTCACGGCGTGGTCCCGCTTGCCGTCCCGTGGCAGCGGCTCGTTCAGGTCCTCCTGGCTCCGGTAGCTGAAGCTCTGGATGGCCTCGGTGACGCCGCGCAGCGAGCTGTAGATCTCCTCAGCGTTCATGTTCTCTGTGTCGTACTCCGTCATGCTGCTGGACAAACAGAGCAGAACCGGATCAGGGAACCGCTCTGAAGCTCAGACCGTAATCTGCATGCTGAGCCACGCCGGGTCCATCAGAACCCACGGAGAACAGAACCAGGCCTGAGCGGAGGCATCCTGGTACCTGGGCGAAAAGGCTCTGCGCATCGTTCTGAGGCACGGGGGAGGGGCGGGGGGGTGCTTGGACGGACCGTCGATCCCCCAACCCCACGACCCACTGGGGGAGGGGGGCGGCGGGGGACGGACAGCAGGACGGACAGAGAGAGGAGACAAAAACAAAGCAGTCTGAGGAGGCAGGTCCAGTTAGGGCACAGGACGGCTGCTGAGTTCTGCTGGGGGAAACCGGGCCGACGGTTCTGGAGCCTTTCTGGGCCGGAGCGGACCTCTGGTTCTGTCCGATCCGTTTCTGTTCAACGGGTTCAAAAGGCAGCGTAGTTTGGACACAACAGAACCGCAGTTAGAACTGGTTCTGATCACTGAGGTTCTACAGGTTCTGCTCTCTGGTTGCTGGATCTCTGAGGAACATCTGAACGTTTCAGGATGCAACACAGAACCACGGAGGGTTCTTCCAGGTTCTGAAGATGTTCCTCCGTCTGCAGAACAGAACCCATTCCAGGAACCTGGAGAACATCAGGAAGCAGCTTCAGAACCAGAACCAGAACCCCTGCAGGTAGAAGCTCACTGAGCAGCGGAGAACCTTCACCCAGCAGAGCTCCTCAGGCCTCAGAGGTTCTGTCTGAAGGTCCGGGTTTGAACCCAGACTCCTGTGACGCCTCCAGAACCAGATGTTCTCCAGGAACATCCACCAGGTTCTGCTCAGGAGGAGGTGGGTCCAGGTTCTCATGAAGAAGTCCAAAAGCAGCAGAACCTGGAGGTGTGTTTGCAGGAGAACGTTTAGAACCGGAGGTTCTGGGATGCATTACACCCTGAAACCTTCAGAACCAGAGGAGCCATCGGGTCAGAACCGTCAACCCTGCAGCGAGACTCAGCAGCCGGGTCCGCAGCCAAGCTCAGTCAGGAGGCCAGCTCATCAGAACCGGTTCTGTCCCGGCCCGCCTACCTGGGGGAGACTCCTCCATGGGAACAGTTGGTGGGAGAGGTGAGGGGGCTGGTTCTGCTGGGGGTGTGGCGCGGTACCGTCCGACCCAACGTGTTACTGGGAGAACTCTGCAGACAGAGAGAGACAGGGTAGTCCAACAGAACCAGAACCGGGTCGGGAGCAGCGCGGCTGACTCACCACGTTGCTGGAGTTCTTCAGGTGGTGGTGCAGCAGCTTGGTGGCGCCGTCCTGGAAGGTTTTGGGCAGCGCCCCCAGCAGCATGGTGAACTCCGGGGTGTTGAGCTCAAACAGGGCGATCAGAACCACCTGGGCCGCCTGAACACAGAGCGTCAGAACGGGTCAAAGCGGTCCAGAGCGACCGGAGAGACGCTTCCGTCTCAGCAGCGTCAGAACCGGGCCTGCGGAGAAGTTCTGGTAGAAGCAGAAGAACTGGACCCTTCAAGGTCCGACCCAGGGACCAGAACCACAGCATGCAGGCGGGGTTAGAGAGGAAACCAGACAGCGAGGAGCCGTGCTGATCCATTGATCATCAGTCTGATCTGTGATCCTTTATTAATGTCTGGATTATTTTCTGCTGACGATCATCATCAGACCTGTAACTGTTGGCTGCTGACGCACCTTTAATACATTTACCATCTATCTATCTATCCATCCATCCATCCATCCATCCATCCATCCATCATCCATCCATCCATCATCCATCCATCCATCCATCCATCCATCCATCCATCCATCCATCATCCATCCATCCATCCATCCATCCATCCATCCATCCATCCATCCATCCATCCATCATCCATCCATCCATCATCCATCCATCCATCCATCCATCCATCATCCATCCATCCATCCATCCATCCATCATCCATCCATCCATCCATCCATCCATCCATCCATCATCCATCCATCCATCATCCATCCATCCATCCATCCATCCATCATCCATCCATCCATCATCCATCCATCCATCCATCATCCATCCATCCATCATCCATCCATCCATCCATCCATCCATCATCATCCATCCATCATCCATCCATCCATCATCCATCCATCATCATCCATCATCCATCCATCCATCCATCATCCATCCATCCATCCATCCATCATCCATCCATCCATCCATCATCCATCCATCCATCCATCATCCATCCATCATCCATCCATCATCATCCATCCATCATCATCCATCATCCATCCATCCATCATCCATCCATCATCATCCATCCATCATCCATCCATCATCCATCCATCATCCATCCATCATCCATCCATCCATCATCCATCCATCCATCATCCATCCATCCATCCATCCATCCATCATCCATCCATCCATCCATCCATCCATCATCCATCCATCCATCCATCCATCCATCCATCCATCCATCCATCCATCATCCATCCACCATCCATCCATCATCCATCCATCCATCCATCCATCATCCATCCATCCATCCATCCATCCATCCATCATCCATCCATCATCCATCCATCCATCCATCCATCCATCATCCATCATCCATCCATCCATCCATCCATCCATCATCCATCCATCCATCCATCCATCCATCCATCCATCCATCCATCCATCCATCCATCCATCATCCATCCATCCATCCATCATCCATCCATCCATCCATCCATCCATCCGTTTTAAAGATCAAGGAAATGTTGGAGAAAAAGGATCCACCACAGAGACAAGAGGAAATGACATCACAGACATGCAGGCGTGTGATTGGCTGGCAGCCTGTTAGTTGGAGGAACACAGCAGTAAACAAAGAGCCTCCATGTGAGGAGCAGTGAAGCCCACAGCTCTGACCAGCATCCACACCCAGGAAAGGGTGGAGGTTCTGCTTCTCCTGCAGGAGGTTCTGGATTTAACTCCATTGTCTCTGGCCAGCCTCCCACAGCATGACGCTACCTGCACCATGCTTCACTGTGGTAACCTGAGAAAACTTTAAAGTTTATTCCAGCAGATTAAAAGCTGCGAAAAAGTCAGCAGGGTGTGAAAACTTTGGCAGACTGTGAGCTCCATGGATCCTCTGGAGGAGCATCAGCCCCTCTGGAGCTTCAGGAGCTCCCTGCATGTGGTGAGGTGCTGCTATCGCAGTCAGAACAAGGCGCTGAGCTCAGCTTCCCCGCAGCTCGGTGGTTAGAGTCCGGCATGCGGCGTGGTGTGCTGTGATTGGCCGATGGGGCGGGCTCTACCTGCTTACACCTGTCCTCCAGGCCGCCCTCGGTGGACAGCAGCGCCGCAGAGCCGGACCAGCCGGCCAGCTCCTCGCTCACCCAGCTGTGGAGGCTCTAAGGCACATTAAGGCAGAACGGGTTACGGGCCGGAACACAAACCGCAGCAGAACCACACATCTGGAGAACGGGTAGCATGGAGCGGAGGCAGCAGCGGTTGGGGAGGGGGGCCGCTCTAAATGGGTCCGTACCATCAGCGGGGTACCATAGAAGCTTCTGATAACCCCGCCCACAGCAGGAGGCCAGGGGTTCTGACCCGGAGATGGTTCTGGGTGCAGAACCACCTCTGCTGTTCTACGACGTTCTGAGCGTTAGAACCAGAACAGAACCTCACCTCTGCTGGGAACGACCCTGAGGCCGGAACATGAATCATCTCAGCTAACATCATCCTCACCTTCCTCACATCAGAGCTTTTGGGTTCAGTGGTCCAAGTTATGATGCGGGAAACCGCCAGCCGAGTCTCGCTGGAGTTCACAAAGTCTGTGGGGTCCATTTGCAGAGCCAGAGACTCGATGTACTTCAGGATGGCCACCTTCACCTGCGGACCACATGTCAATGAATCCAAGAGCAACAGGAAAGCAGCAGCAGCCGCTCCCCACGGGCGCCACCATCTCACCTTGAGGTTTGGCGTCTGGGTCTGGTCCACGATGAACCTCATCAAGATGTTGAACTGCTGGTCGAATGGAAACGATTCCCTGGGAAAGGAAAACACAGGAATCAGCTGTTTGCACCGTAGTCCAGCTTCCCATAGGATCCAATGCTAACAAAGCCCTGAAGCTGGTATCTGATTCCGTTTGACTGAACCTCAGCCTCAGTCAAACCTTTTCTGAGACCAGCATCTAAAACTAGAACCGATCCAGATCCAGGTTCTCTAGAGGCCCAGCTTTATCTGGTGAAGCTCAGGGCGGAGGACTCGGACTAAAATGACTAAACGTGTCTCTAGAAGCCGCTGCACCGTCGCTGTTCTTCCAAACCTAGCCTGAGTTCTGGAGGACCCTCATTCCTCCCTTAGACTAAGAAGTTCTGCCTCCATCAGCTGATCATCATGTCTGACCTGGTGACATCCAGAGCCTTCTGGACCTTAGCTTGGACTGAGCCCAGCAGGTCGGCCCCCATCTTCTTCAGCAGCTGTGTTAGAAGGACAAACAGCCAGTCCTGCAGGTCCTCCTTGTGCACCGTGACAAAGTCCAGCAGAGTCTCCAAGAACATGCTGAACACCTGAGAGCAGAAGAAGAGCCGTCAGAGGGATGGAAGCCCAGGAAGGAACCGGACTGAGAGCTCCAGGACTTACCCTCTGATGACGGAGCCACGGCAGGGCAGGCGACAGGAGACACACCGTTAGTTCTGGGAACATCTACAAACATCTGGGAACATCTACAAACATCTACAAACATCTGGGAACATCTACAAACATCTGGGAACATCTACAGACATCTGGGAACATCTACAAACATCTACAAACATCTGGGAACATCTACAAACATCTGGGAACATCTACAAACATCTACAAACATCTGGGAACATCTACAAACATCTACAAACATCTGGGAACATCTACAAACATCTACAAACATCTGGGAACATCTACAAACATCTGGGAACATCTACAAACATCTGGGAACATCTACAAACATCTGGGAACATCTACAGACATCTGGGAACATCTACAAACATCTGGGGACATCTACAAACATCTGGGAACATCTACAAACATCTGGGAACATCTACAGACATCTGGGAACATCTACAAACATCTGGGGACATCTACAAACATCTGGGAACCTCTACAAACATCTACAAACATCTGGGAACATCTACAAACATCTACAAACATCTGGGAACATCTACAAACATCTGGGAACATCTACAAACATCTGGGAACATCTACAAACATCTGGGGACATCTACAAACATCTGGGAACATCTACAAACATCTGGGAACATCTACACACATCTGGGAACATCTACAAACATCTGGAAGGTTCTCTACCTTACTGTGAGGGTCTGCAAACATCCTGGTGAAGATCTCACAGAGTCTCTTCAGCTCCACTCGGCTGCAGAGACAAGAACAAGCAGCCAATCAGAACTCATCACTAACACACAGGCCCCGCCCACTGGGAGCTATCTGGGAGCTAAAGTGGGAGTTGAACTGGGAGATAAACTGGTAAATAATCTGGGAGCTAATCTGACAGTGGATCTTCTATTGGATCAGCTGGAGCTCCTCAGGAGCATCCAGGATTCTTCAGGCAGGATGTTCAGAGTTAAATCATGGAGCTCTAATTAAATTCTAAACGATTTTCCCACATTTTTCCCAGGAAGCCTTGAAAGTATGAGATTGAAACTTCCTTCCACCTCAGGATTCTTTGGCTCTTCAGGAGGGTCTGCAGACCCAGCAGGCCCTCCTTGCGCTCCGACCAGTTGGAGCTGGCGCAGTGGTTCAGGACCTCGGCCACGTCCTCCGTTTGCCGCAGGTAGTGGGGGAGGCCCCCGTTCCTGGAGCTGTAGGAGCGCTCTGAGCAGGCGCTGGAGGCGTCGCTGTTGGCGTCGTCATCAGAGTACATCCCAGGAGACTCGTACCGCCGCCGCAGCGGCTTCCTCTGCAGCACAGAAGAAGAAGAAAACTCATGAAACATGAGGTCTGGAAAATGAGATGATCTGAGAAGCAGCATGCAGCCTGTTCCTAGAAATAACTCCTGTTCTTTAGAAAATACATCCAGATAAAGATGTTTTCACAAAGGAGCAGATTTAATGCAATCATGGCAGAGAGGATGTGAAGGGCAGAGAAATGAGACGAGAGCGATGAGGCAGGCAGACCAACAGAGAGGAACCGATCTACCTTGTTCCTGGAGTCTCCTAACAGCTGAAACAGGAACCCAGAGGAGAGAACGCACGTTTAAGGAAGGAAGAACGTAAAACAGGTTCCTGATCTGGAAGAAGAGGGAATCTCACCAGAGCGTCCGCCACCGCCGCCTCCACCTCTGTGCCGGTGTTCAGAACCCGCATGGCGTTCACCGACGCAGAGATCCTCGCCTGGTGGATCAAACCGTAGCGATCTGGGAAAAGAGCCACGAAGACTATTATAGCTTCTCCTCTGAGGGAACCCGGTTCCCCTCAGAGAGAAACCGGGTTCCAACAGAGGAACCGGGTTTCCCTCAGAGGAACCGGGTTCCCTCTGAGAGGTACCAGTTTCCGACAGAGGAACCGGTTTCCCTCAGAGGAACCGGGTTCCAACACAGGAACCAGTTTCCCTCAGAGGTACCGGTTTCCGACAGAGGAACCGGTTTCCGACAGAGGAACCGGTTTCCCTCAGAGGAACCGGTTTCCCTCAGAGGAACCGGGTTCCAACACAGGAACCAGTTTCCCTCAGAGGTACTGGTTTCCGACAGAGGAACCGGTTTCCGACAGAGGAACCAGTTTCCGACAGAGGAACCAGTTTCCGACAGAGGAACCGGGTTCCAACAGAGGAACCGGGTTTCCCTCAGAGGAACCGGGTTCCCTCAGAGAGGAACCGGTTGCCCTCTGAGAGGTACCAGTTTCCGACAGAGGAACCGGTTTCCCTCAGAGGGACCGGGTTCCAACAGAGGAACCGGGTTTCCCTCAGAGGAACCGGGTTCCCTCTGAGAGGTACCAGTTTCCGACAGAGGAACTGGTTTCCCTCAGAGGGACCGGGTTCCAACAGAGGAACCGGGTTTCCCTCAGAGGAACCGGGTTCCCTCTGAGAGGTACCAGTTTCCGACAGAGGAACCGGTTTCCCTCAGAGGAACCGGGTTCCAACACAGGAACCGGTTTCCCTCAGAGGAACCGGGTTCCCTCCGAGAGGAACCGGTTTCCAACAGAGGAACCGGGTTTCCCTCAGAGGAACCGGGTTCCCTCCGAGAGGAACCGGTTGCCCTCTGAGAGGTACCAGTTTCCGACAGAGGAACCGGTTTCCGACAGAGGAACCGTTTTCCAACAGAGGAACCGGGTTTCCCTCAGAGGGAACCCGGTTTCCCTCAGAGGAACCGGGTTCCCTCTGAGAGGAACCGGGTTCCAACAGAGGAACCGGGTTTCCCTCCAAGAGGAACCGGTTGCCCTCTGAGAGGTACCAGGTTCCAACAGAGGAACCGGGTTTCCCTCAGAGGGAACCCGGTTTCCCTCAGAGGAACCGGGTTCCCTCTGAGAGGAACCGGGTTCCAACAGAGGAACCGGGTTTCCCTCCAAGAGGAACCGGTTGCCCTCTGAGAGGTACCAGGTTCCAACAGAGGAACCGGGTTCCAACAGAGGAACCGGGTTCCCTCTGAGAGGTACCAGTTTCCGACAGAGGAACCGGTTTCCCTCAGAGGAACCGGGTTCCAACACAGGAACCAGTTTCCCTCAGAGGTACTGGTTTCCGACAGAGGAACCGGTTTCCGACAGAGGAACCAGTTTCCGACAGAGGAACCGGGTTCCAACAGAGGAACCGGGTTTCCCTCAGAGGAACCGGGTTCCCTCAGAGAGGAACCGGTTGCCCTCTGAGAGGTACCAGTTTCCGACAGAGGAACCGGTTTCCCTCAGAGGGACCGGGTTCCAACAGAGGAACCGGGTTTCCCTCAGAGGAACCGGGTTCCCTCTGAGAGGTACCAGTTTCCGACAGAGGAACCGGTTTCCCTCAGAGGAACCGGGTTCCAACACAGGAACCGGTTTCCCTCAGAGGAACCGGGTTCCCTCCGAGAGGAACCGGTTTCCAACAGAGGAACCGGGTTTCCCTCAGAGGAACCGGGTTTCCCTCAGAGGAACCGGGTTCCCTCCGAGAGGAACCGGTTGCCCTCTGAGAGGTACCAGTTTCCGACAGAGGAACCGGTTTCCGACAGAGGAACCGGTTTCCCTCAGAGGAACCGGTTTCCGACAGAGGAACCGGTTTCCCTCAGAGGAACCGGGTTCCCTCTGAGAGGAACCGGGTTCCAACAGAGGAACCGGGTTTCCCTCCAAGAGGAACCGGTTGCCCTCTGAGAGGTACCAGGTTCCAACAGAGGAACCGGGTTCCAACAGAGGAACCGGGTTCCCTCTGAGAGGTACCAGTTTCCGACAGAGGAACCGGTTTCCGACAGAGGAACCGGTTTCCCTCAGAGGAACCGGTTTCCGACAGAGGAACCGGTTTCCCTCAGAGGAACCGGGTTCCCTCTGAGAGGAACCGGGTTCCAACAGAGGAACCGGGTTTCCCTCCAAGAGGAACCGGTTGCCCTCTGAGAGGTACCAGTTTCCGACAGAGGAACCGGTTTCCGACAGAGGAACCGTTTTCCCTCAGAGGAACCGGTTTCCGACAGAGGAACCGATTTCCCTCAGAGGAACCGGGTTCCCTCTGAGAGGAACCGGGTTCCAACAGAGGAACCGGGTTTCCCTCCAAGAGGAACCGGTTGCCCTCTGAGAGGTACCAGGTTCCAACAGAGGAACCGGGTTCCAACAGAACAGAGGAGCTGGTTTCCCTCAGAGGAGAAGCATTAGCATGCGCTTACAGCTAAACATCTTATTTCATGTGTTTCTTCTCCTAAACAGGAATAATTCAGGCATCAAACAGGTAAAAACAATGGAGCAAACCAATAATAATAATAAGTTTAACTTTGGACATGAAGTTCAGGTCTGAAAAAATGAAAACGATGAACCAGGAGCTTCTTCCTGACATGCTGGGATGGAACACAAAGCAAAGCTTCAAACTGAACCACCAATAAAAAAAATAAAACCACCAAACTGGAGACGAAACCACAGACTGGGACACGGAGGACATGCAGGTCACCTGACTGGCCGTGGGCGTCGGCTGTGGACAGGGCACTGGTTGAACGGGAGTGACGGCGGGAGGCTGCGGGAGGACAGGAGATGTGGGCCACGTCCAAAACACCGGGTCACAACCAAAACCTCCTACTGATGACCTCACACTAACTAAAAACGGCTCTTAGACTCATTTGACCTTTGACCTCCAGTCCGAGCTCCTCTCCTGCTTCATTCTGAAGGTTGGTTCCTGTTGCTCCGACATCGGATCAGAGACAGAACCCAGAGTGGGAGGAGTCCAGACACAGCATGTACAGGGTCGGACTATTTTCAAAAACTTTGTGAATATCCTAAACTACAACTTTAAAACGTAGAAACCTGCCGGCAGAATATGTTGGCTTTTATTATCCTGCTGCCTGCAGTTTGTAGCACAGAGCTGAAAAACGCTAACATCTACTTCCAGCCGCCACCAACAGGAGGGGAAAACCCTGGAGAGGCGAGCGGGCCTGAGGCAGCTGCTGCTGGGGATTCCCAGTGACAGCGCAGCGCCGGTATGTGGGGGTCTGAGCGGCTCCCACAGAGAAATAATCTTTGAAGGCAGGATGGTAATCTGGATGAACTGACTGCACAGACCATGTTTTCAGGAGGACTTTCTCACTTCAACATAGATTCTAACTACTTTCTACCCGCTGATCACAGCTAATATAGCAAAGCTGCTCTCTGGCATCGAACACAGGAGCAGCAGAAGCATCTGGACTCACTTTACTGGACGGCTGACCTGAATGAGGACCAGAGATGAAGCAGCAGAAGCTGCTTTGCTGTGTGAACGTAGCCTAGCTTAGCCTAGCTTAGCCTAGCTTAGCCTAGCTTAGCCTAGCTTAGCAGAATGAGCAGCAGCTCATTGCTGATGTCTGCTGCCATGACATCAGGAGCTGCTGAAGGTCAGATCTTCATCTGGTCAGAACCATCAGGATGGATTCTCTTCCTCGCTTTAGTTAAACAGCATTAGGTTGTTGGTTTGAATTCCATCAGAGTAAAACCTGGGAGAAGAGGCGGTTCCTGCGTCTGAATCGTACTCACCCAGAGGAGCGAAGCCCCGAGCGGGGCTGGTGTCGCGGCTGCTCTCGCGACTCGTGTCGCGACTGCAGCCCTGACTCATGCTGGGGCGGGGGATGCGGCTCCGGGCTGGTGTGTGGGAGGAGAGAGCAGCAGGAAGAAGAGCTTTAGCACACGGACTGGAACCAGTTAGGACAGGATGGAGGACAGCAGGAGGACAGCGGGAGGACAGCAGGGGGACAGCGGGAGGACAGCGGGAGGACAGCAGGGGGACAGCGGGAGGACAGCAGGGGGACAGCAGGGGGACAGCAGCAGGAAGAAGAGCTTTAGCACACGGACTGGAACCAGTTAGGACAGGATGGAGGACAGCAGGAGGACAGCGGGAGGACAGCAGGGGGACAGCGGGAGGACAGCGGGAGGACAGCAGGGGGACAGCGGGAGGACAGCAGGGGGACAGCAGGGGGACAGCAGCAGGAAGAAGAGCTTTAGCACACGGACTGGAACCAGTTAGGACAGGATGGAGGACAGCAGGAGGACAGCGGGAGGACAGCAGGGGGACAGCGGGAGGACAGCGGGAGGACAGCAGGGGGACAGCGGGAGGACAGCAGGGGGACAGCAGGGGGACAGCGGGAGGACAGCGGGAGGACAGCAGGGGGACAGCGGGAGGACAGCAGGGGGACAGCAGGGGGACAGCGGGAGGACAGCGGGAGGACAGCAGGGGGACAGCGGGAGGACAGCGGGAGGACAGCAGGGGGACAGCGGGAGGACAGCAGGGGGACAGCAGGGGGACAGCAGCAGGAAGAAGAGCTTTAGCACACGGACTGGAACCAGTTAGGACAGGATGGAGGACAGCAGGAGGACAGCGGGAGGACAGCAGGGGGACAGCGGGAGGACAGCGGGAGGACAGCAGGGGGACAGCGGGAGGACAGCAGGGGGACAGCAGGGGGACAGCAGCAGGAAGAAGAGCTTTAGCACACGGACTGGAACCAGTTAGGACAGGATGGAGGACAGCAGGAGGACAGCGGGAGGACAGCAGGGGGACAGCGGGAGGACAGCGGGAGGACAGCAGGGGGACAGCGGGAGGACAGCAGGGGGACAGCAGGGGGACAGCAGCAGGAAGAAGAGCTTTAGCACACGGACTGGAACCAGTTAGGACAGGATGGAGGACAGCAGGAGGACAGCGGGAGGACAGCAGGGGGACAGCGGGAGGACAGCGGGAGGACAGCAGGGGGACAGCGGGAGGACAGCAGGGGGACAGCAGGGGGACAGCAGCAGGAAGAAGAGCTTTAGCACACGGACTGGAACCAGTTAGGACAGGATGGAGGACAGCAGGAGGACAGCGGGAGGACAGCAGGGGGACAGCAGGGGGACAGCGGGAGGACAGCAGGGGGACAGCAGGAGGACAGCGGGAGGACAGCAGGGGGACAGCAGGAGGACAGCAGGGGGACAGCAGGAGGACAGCAGGGGGACAGCGGGAGGACAGCGGGAGGACAGCAGGAGGACAGCAGGGGGACTACGGGAGGACAGCAGGGGGACAGCATGAGGACAGCGGGAGGACAGCAGGGGGACAGCAGGGGGACAGCAGGGGGACAGCAGGAGGACAGCAGGGGGACAGCAGGGGGACTATGGGGGGACAGCGGGAGGACAGCAGGGGGACAGCAGGAGGACAGCATGAGGACAGCGGGAGGACAGCAGGGGGACAGCAGGGGGACAGCAGGGGGACAGCAGGGGGACTACGGGGGGACAGCAGGAGGACAGCAGGGGGACAGCAGGGGGACAGCAGGGGGACAGCGGGAGGACAGCAGGGGGACAGCATGAGGACAGCGGGAGGACAGCAGGGGGACAGCAGGGGGACAGCAGGAGGACAGCAGGAGGACAGCAGGAGGACAGCAGGGGGACAGCAGGAGGACAGCAGGGGGACAGCAGGGGGACTACGGGGGGACAGCAGGAGGACAGCAGGGGGACAGCAGGAGGACAGCAGGAGGACAGCAGGGGGACAGCAGGAGGACAGCAGGAGGACAGCAGGAGGACAGCAGGGGGACTACGGGGGGACAGCAGGGGGACAGCAGGGGGACTACGGGGGGACTACGGGAGGACAGCAGGGGGACAGCATGAGGACAGCGGGAGGACAGCAGGAGGACAGCAGGAGGACAGCAGGAGGACAGCAGGGGGACAGCAGGAGGACAGCAGGGGGACAGCAGGGGGACAGCAGGAGGACAGCAGGGGGACAGCAGGAGGACAGCAGGAGGACAGCAGGGGACAGCAGGGGGACAGCAGGAGGACAGCAGGGGGACAGCAGGAGGACAGCAGGGGGACAGCAGGGGGACAGCAGGGGGACAGCAGGGGGACAGCAGGAGGACAGCAGGGGGACAGCAGGGGGACAGCAGGAGGACAGCAGGGGGACAGCAGGAGGACAGCAGGGGGACAGCAGGAGGACAGCAGGAGGACAGCAGGAGGACAGCAGGGGGACAGCAGGAGGACAGCAGGGGGACAGCAGGGGGACAGCAGGAGGACAGCAGGGGGACAGCAGGAGGACAGCGGGAGGACAGCAGGAGGACAGCAGGAGGACAGCAGGAGGACAGCAGGGGGACAGCAGGAGGACAGCAGGGGGACAGCAGGGGGACAGCAGGAGGACAGCAGGGGGACAGCAGGAGGACAGCAGGGGGACAGCAGGAGGACAGCAGGAGGACAGCAGGGGGACAGCAGGGGGACAGCAGGAGGACAGCAGGGGGACAGCAGGAGGACAGCAGGGGGACAGCAGGGGGACAGCAGGGGGACAGCAGGGGGACAGCAGGAGGACAGCAGGGGGACAGCAGGAGGACAGCAGGGGGACAGCAGGGGGACAGCAGGAGGACAGCAGGGGGACAGCAGGAGGACAGCAGGAGGACAGCAGGAGGACAGCAGGGGGACAGCAGGAGGACAGCAGGGGGACAGCAGGAGGACAGCAGGGGGACAGCAGGAGGACAGCAGGGGGACAGCAGGAGGACAGCAGGAGGACAGCAGGAGGACAGCAGGGGGACAGCAGGGGGACAGCAGGAGGACAGCAGGGGGACAGCAGGGGGACAGCAGGGGGACAGCAGGAGGACAGCAGGGGGACAGCAGGGGGACAGCAGGAGGACAGCAGGAGGACAGCAGGAGGACAGCAGGAGGACAGCAGGAGGACAGCAGGGGGACAGCAGGGGGACAGCAGGAGGACAGCAGGGGGACAGCAGGGGGACAGCAGGAGGACAGCAGGGGGACAGCAGGAGGACAGCAGGAGGACAGCAGGAGGACAGCAGGAGGACAGCAGGGGGACAGCAGGAGGACAGCAGGAGGACAGCAGGAGGACAGCAGGAGGACAGCAGGGGGACAGCAGGGGGACAGCAGGGGGACAGCAGGAGGACAGCAGGGGGACAGCAGGGGGACAGCAGGAGGACAGCAGGAGGACAGCAGGAGGACAGCAGGAGGACAGCAGGAGGACAGCAGGAGGACAGCAGGGGGACAGCGGGAAACAAAGGTTCTGATTGATCCAGACGGAAACTGTTCAAATGTTCTGATGTTTGCAGAAAAACTGGGAGAAGCTCTCAGCAGGACGCTCCTCCTTCTACAGCAGCCATTCTCAACCTTTGGGTCCCGGTCGCCATATTGGGAAAAATATAGATACAGAAATCTAGCTTCTGACCGCGCGGCAGGGAGGCTGGTCTCTAACCAGCTCTATTTCTAATAACCAGTTACCGTCAGCAGGAACCCAGCAGGTAAACTGGGAGGGTCGCGACCCAAAAAGGTTGAGAAGCACTGATCTAGAGAACAAACCAGGAGGTCCACCAGAAAATGGAGAAGAATGACGGAACAGAGAGAAACAGAACTGAAGCTCAACCAGCATCTACAGAACCCAGCGGTGTTCTACGTTAGAACCCAGCGGTGTAGGGTTCTAGAACCTAGCAGTGTTCTAAGTTAGAACCCAGCAGTGTAGGGTTCTAGAACCCAGCAGTGTTCTAAGTTAGAACCCAGCGGTGTTCTAAGTTAGAACCCAGCAGTGTAGGGTTCTAGAACCCAGCAGTGTTCTAAGTTAGAACCCAGCGGTGTTCTAAGTTAGAACCCAGCAGTGTAGGGTTCTAGAACCCAGCAGTGTTCTAAGTTAGAACCCAGCAGTGTTCTAAGTTAGAACCCAGCAGTGTAGGGTTCTAGAACCCAGCGGTGTTCTACGTTAGAACCCAGCAGTGTTGGGTTGTAGAACCCAGCAGTGTTGGGTTGTAGAACCCAGCGGTGTTCTACGTTAGAACCCAGCAGTGTAGGGTTCTAGAACCCAGCAGTGTTCTAAGTTAGAACCCAGCAGTGTAGGGTTCTAGAACCCAGCAGTGTTGGGTTGTAGAACCCAGCGGTGTTCTACGTTAGAACCCAGCGGTGTAGGGTTCTAGAACCTAGCAGTGTTCTAAGTTAGAACCCAGCAGTGTAGGGTTCTAGAACCCAGCAGTGTTCTAAGTTAGAACCCAGCGGTGTTCTAAGTTAGAACCCAGCAGTGTAGGGTTCTAGAACCCAGCAGTGTTCTAAGTTAGAACCCAGCGGTGTTCTAAGTTAGAACCCAGCAGTGTAGGGTTCTAGAACCCAGCAGTGTTCTAAGTTAGAACCCAGCAGTGTTCTAAGTTAGAACCCAGCAGTGTAGGGTTCTAGAACCCAGCGGTGTTCTACGTTAGAACCCAGCAGTGTTGGGTTGTAGAACCCAGCAGTGTTGGGTTGTAGAACCCAGCGGTGTTCTACGTTAGAACCCAGCAGTGTAGGGTTCTAGAACCCAGCAGTGTTCTAAGTTAGAACCCAGCAGTGTAGGGTTCTAGAACCCAGCAGTGTTGGGTTGTAGAACCCAGCGGTGTTCTACGTTAGAACCCAGCAGTGTAGGGTTCTAGAACCCAGCAGTGTTGGGTTGTAGAACCCAGCGGTGTTCTACGTTAGAACCCAGCAGTGTAGGGTTCTAGAACCCAGCAGTGTTCTAAGTTAGAACCCAGCGGTGTTCTACGTTAGAACCCAGCAGTGTAGGGTTCTAGAACCCAGCAGTGTTCTAAGTTAGAACCCAGCAGTGTTCTAAGTTAGAACCCAGCAGTGTAGGGTTGTAGAACCCAGCAGTGTTGGGTTGTAGAACCCAGCGGTGTTCTACGTTAGAACCCAGCAGTGTTCTACGTTAGAACCCAGCAGTGTTGGGTTCTAGAACCCAGCGGTGTTCTACGTTAGAACCCAGCGGTGTTGGGTTGTAGAACCCAGCAGTGTTGGGTTGTAGAACCCAGCGGTGTTCTACGTTAGAACCCAGCAGTGTTCTACGTTAGAACCCAGCAGTGTTGGGTTCTAGAACCCAGCGGTGTTCTACGTTAGAACCCAGCGGTGTTGGGTTCTAGAACCCAGCGGTGTTCTACGTTAGAACCCAGCAGTGTTCTACGTTAGAACCCAGCTCGTACCGAGGCCAAGTCTGCTGGGGCTGCTCTCCCGGCTGCATCCCTGGCTGCGGGGGATCCTGCTGCGTCTGTCTGGCGCCGGAACCGGTGGTGGCGTGGTTCTGGGGATCCGGCCGTAGCTGCTCTGGCCCAGAAGTTTTCCTGGAGAACTGGATCGACTGCCGGCTGTTGGAGAGATGACAGACAGGCTTTAAATTCAGCAACACTACAGATAGAACGACCCAGAGACAGACAGGGAGAACGCAGAGGAACCTGAAGAACCAGGGGAACCAGAGGAACCAGTGATAATAGAGGAACCAGAGGAACCAAAGGAACCAGAGGAACCAAAGGAACCAGGGGAACCAGAGGAACCAGTGATAATAGAGGAACCAGAGGAACCAAAGGAACCAGAGGAACCAAAGGAACCAGGGGAACCAGAGGAACCAGTGATAATAGAGGAACCAGAGGAACCAAAGGAACCAGAGGAACCAAAGGAACCAGGGGAACCAGAGGAACCAGAGGAACCTGAAGAACCAGGGGAACCATGGGAACCAAGGGAACTAAAGGAACCAGAGGAACCAGGGGAACCAGAGGAACCAGGGGAACCAAAGGAACCAGTGAAACCAGAGAAAGCCAGGGGAACCAGAGGAACCAAAGGATCCAGAGGAACCAAAGGAACCAGGGGAACCAAAGGATCCAGAGGAACCAAAGGAACCAGGGGAACCATGGGAACCAAAGGAACCATGGGAACCATGGGAACCAGAGGAACCATGGGAACCAGAGGAACCAGTGGAACCATGGGAACCAGAGGAACCATGGGAACCAGATGAACAATGGGAACCAGTGGAACCATGGGAACCAGTGAAACCAGAGGAACCATGGGAACCAAAGAAAGCCAGGGGAACCAGAGGAACCAAAGGAACCAAAGGAACCAGGGGAACCAGAGGAACCAGTGGAACCAGAGGAACCATGGGAACCAGAGGAACCAGTGAAACCAGAGGAACCATGGGAACCAAAGGATCCAGAGGAACCAAAGGAACCAGGGGAACCATGGGAACCAAAGGAACCATGGGAACCATGGGAACCAGAGGAACCATGGGAACCAGAGGAACCAGTGAAACCAGAGGAACTATGGGAACCAAAGAAAGCCAGGGGAACCAGAGGAACCAAAGGAACCAGGGGAACCAGAGGAACCAGTGGAACCAGAGGAACCATGGGAACCAGAGGAACCATGGGAACCAGAGGAACCAGTGAAACCAGAGGAACCATGGGAACCAAAGAAAGCCAGGGGAACCAGAGGAACCAAAGGAACCAAAGGAACCAGGGGAACCAGTGGAACCAGAGGAACCATGGGAACCAGGGGAACCAGAGGAACCAAAGGAACCAGGGGAACCAGAGGAACCAAAGGATCCAGAGGAACCAAAGGAACCAAAGGAACCAGGGGAACCAGAGGAACCAGTGGAACCAAAGGAACCATGGGAACCAGAGGAACCATGGGAACCAAAGGAACCAGTGAAACCAGAGGAACCATGGGAACCAAAGAAAGCCAGGGGAACCAAAGGAACCAGGGGAACCAGAGGAACCAGTGGAACCAGAGGAACCAGGGGAACCAGAGGAACCAAAGGAACCAGGGGAACCAGAGGAACCAAAGGATCCAGAGGAACCAAAGGAACCAGGAGAACCAGAGGAACCATGGGAACCAGAGGAACCATGGGAACCAGTGGAACCATGGGAACCAGAGGAACCATGGGTACCAAAGAAAGCCAGGGGAACCAGAGGAACCAAAGGAACCAAAGGAACCAGGGGAACCAGAGGAACCAAAGGAACCAGTGGAACCATGGGAACCAAAGGAACCAGTGGAACCAGTGGAACCATGGGAACCAAAGGAACCAGTGAAACCAGAGGAACCATGGGAACCAAAGGAACCAGTGAAACCAGAGGAACCATGGGAACCAAAGAAAGCCAGGGGAACCAGAGGAACCAAAGGAACCAGGGGAACCAGAGGAACCAAAGGATCCAGAGGAACCAAAGGAACCAGGAGAACCAGAGGAACCAAAGGATCCAGAGGAACCAAAGGAACCAGGGGAACCAGAGGAACCAAAGGATCCAGAGGAACCAAAGGAACCAGAGGAACCAGGGGAACCAGAGGAACCAAAGGATCCAGAGGAACCAGGGGAACCATAGGAACCAGAGGAACCAAAGGAACCAGAGGAACCAGTGGAACCAGAGGAACCAAAGGAACCAGTGGAACCAGGGGAACCAGAGGAACCAGTGGAACCAAGGGAAACAGTGATAAAAGAGGAACCAGAGGAACCAGTGAGACCAGTGGAACCAGAGGAGAACCGAAGCACAGAGAAGCATGCAACAGCTGCAGGCAGACGGACAGAGGAGCAGGACGGCCCTGATTGGAGCACATGAGGAAAAAGGGGAGGAGCTTGAAGCAGATTGGATGAAGCTGAGGCCTTACCACTGACGGTATTGGCTGATCTGGATCCTGGATGATGGAAGCGACAGGCAGGACGACAAGGCGGAAATGGTGAGAAACAGACAAAACAACATGTTTGTTGATTTTACCCAGCATGCACTCTGGGGCGGCGTGACGATGTCCATCAGTTCAGTGCAGTTTCTATTCTCATTCCACTGTCACCAGTACAGAGCAACGACATTCACTCTGCATTTAACCCATTCTCCCCTTGGGGAGCAGTGGGCTGCCATGGTGCGGCGCCCGGGGAGCAGCGTGGGGTTAAGGGTCTTGCTCAGGGACCCAGAGTGCAGGCAGTGGGAGTTGAACTCAGAACCTCTGGGTTCCAAGCTCTACCAGTAGGCCTCAGTCAGCAGAGCAGAGCATGCATGGAGATGAAAGGAGAACATGGAGATCAAGCTCAGACTTACGCTGGGACTGGGAGACCACCTTGGCTCGACTGCGCCCCCTGCTGTCCACCACTGAGGGACTGGCTCCGCCCACGCTGCCTGAGCTCTGGCGTCTGGTACGGACACGACCTGGAAGAAGAAGAGAAGAACTTCTTCACCTAAACTGAGACACACCTGGAGTCTGTTGACCAAAGCATCTACCTGCGACCAAAGAAACAGACTGACGGACCGTCGGTCACAGACCGGGAGAACATGCCGGAAAACATCTTCATGAATCAAAGGAGGAGCTGAGGATGCAAGCTGGATCAGCAGGGAGAACGAGAGGAGGAGGAGGGCAGCATCAAGAACCATCTTTGATGTTAGCAAATCTGGAACGGGTTCTGACAGAAGGTCTGGACCGGGTACGGCCCGGGTACGGTCCGGGTACGGACCGGGTATGGCCCGGGTACCGACCGGGTACGGACCGGGTATGGCCCGGGTACCGCCCGGGTACGGTCCGGGTACGGACCGGGTACGGACCGGGTACGGTCCGGGTACGGACCGGGTATGGCCCGGGTACCGACCGGGTACGGACCGGGTACGGACTGGGTCTGGACCGAGTACGGTCCGAGTACGGACCGGGTACGGACCGGGTCTGGACCGAGTACGGTCCGAGTACGGTCCGAGTACGGACCGGGTACCGAAAGGGACGTTCCATCGTTCTACAGCAGACTGTCTGGTTCTCCAACTCAGAGCATCAGTGTTTCCGTCTGTGGGTTAATCCTGACTGACCCAGCAGAACCTGAGCTGCTGCAGGAACCATGCTACCATCTGGTACCGGTTCCATCTGTCCTGGTACCGGTTCCATCTGTCCTGGTACCGGTTCTGAGTCTAAGCATCCATTCAGGACGTAGAGGACTGCTTCAGCTTAATCAGTCAGAGGAAGGTTTTATCGTAGACTCTCACTGGTTTATTAGCCGTCATAAAATGTTAGCAGGAACAAACGGCGGCGCTGCTGCTGTCAGAACGTTTGAAGTTCTGATAAGTCGGGGCCAAAGGTCACCTGGCAAGAACATCACCAACAGGATGTTTCACAACCAGCCAAGAATAGCTCCTGGTGAGATAAGGACATAAAAATAAATCAGCTGGAGGAAGGAAGCAGTAGGAGGTGTTTATGAGTCTATCAGAGCCATTAAAGCTCACAGACTGACCCTAATTCTTCTACACCTCCACCTCAGAGAGTCCCTCTGCTTCTAAACCAACATCTCATCAGAACTTCTTTGGATTCTGAGGATCTGGACCTTCTCTGGAACAGAACATGTCCAGACGACGCAGACTCTCAGGAACGAAGACACCAAACACACAAACACCATCTGTGAAAGGACAGCGGAAACTGACCGCTGAAAGAAACAGAACAGGAGACGTTACAGAGGAGCAGGTCCATGCAGACAGTCCATGCAGAGGTCCACGGAACCACAGCGGCTCTGAGGAACCAGGGAGGGGAAGAGAAGACAGACCAGGAGAACACAGAGGGTCAGGACATCCAACAACAGACAGACGTCTCTACTTCCATCCTCCCACCAGACAGAGATCCTTACCGTCACTTTTACCAAGAACGCCGTCTTAAGACAGAGCAGGAGGAGAGGAGAACATGGTTAGCAACAGAACGTGTCAGATGTTAGCAAGAGAATGTGTCAGATGTTAGCAAGAGAACGTGTCAGATGTTAGCAAGAGAACGTGTCAGATGTTAGCAAGAGAACGTGTCAGATGTTAGCAACAGAACGTGTCAGATGTTAGCAAGAGAACGTGTCAGATGTTAGCAAGAGAACGTGTCAGATGTTAGCAAGAGAACGTGTCAGATGTTAGCAACAGAACGTGTCAGATGTTAGCAAGAGAACGTGTCAGATGTTAGCAGAACGTGTCAGATGTTAGCAGAATGTGTCAGATGTTAGCAAGAGAACGTGTCAGATGTTAGCAGAATGTGTCAGATGTTAGCAAGAGAACGTGTCAGATGTTAGCAGAACGTGTCAGATGTTAGCAGAACGTGTCAGATGTTAGCAAGAGAACGTGTCAGATGTTAGCAGAACGAACGTGTCAGATGTTAGCAGAACGTGTCAGATGTTAGCAGAACGTGTCAGATGTTAGCATGAGAATGTGTCAGATGTTAGCAGAACGAACGTGTCAGATGTTAGCAGAACGTGTCAGATGTTAGCAGAACGAACGTGTCAGATGTTAGCAGAACGAACGTGTCAGATGTTAGCATGAGAATGTGTCAGATGTTAGCAGAACGAACGTGTCAGATGTTAGCAGAACGTGTCAGATGTTAGCATGAGAACGTGTCAGATGTTAGCAGAACGAACGTGTCAGATGTTAGCATGAGAATGTGTCAGATGTTAGCAGAACGAACGTGTCAGATGTTAGCAGAACGTGTCAGATGTTAGCATGAGAACGTGTCAGATGTTAGCAGAACGTGTCAGATGTTAGCAGAACGTGTCAGATGTTAGCATGAGAATGTGTCAGATGTTAGCAAGAGAACGTTTCAGATGTTAGCAAGAGAACGTGTCAGATGTTAGCAAGAGAATGTGTCAGATGTTAGCAAGAGAACGTGTCAGATGTTAGCAAGAGAACGTGTCAGATGTTAGCAAGAGAATGTGTCAGATGTTAGCAAGAGAATGTGTCAGATGTTAGCAAGAGAACGTGTCAGATGTTAGCAGAACGTGTCAGATGTTAGCAGAAGGTGTCAGATGTTAGGCAGAGATCAGAGGGAGAAGATGAGAAGGTGTCAGGTGTCTGCATCACGGTGCAGCAGGAGGTTTAATGGTTTTCGTCGATCCACTGGAGGAAACTGAACCTTAATCAGAAAACTGGGCGCTCCGTTAGCTTAAAGCGCTGGCAGAAACCATGTTGAGCACTTTTCTGGGTTTCCATCAGCCTGAAGAAGCTCCACAGCCTCATTAGGCTCATTTATCAAAGGTGTCAAAATGGTTCCTGATGAAAGAACCGACTAATAACCCCAACAGTCATTAATAATCTGAGTCAGGCCCATAAAAGCCACTGATTACTGGAGGAATGTTCTCATAGTTCACTGACTCAGCTGAAGATAAATCACTGAACTCAGGGGTTTAATTAAAGCTCTGCTCTGATTGGATTAAAGGAAAAGTCGCTCATATTCAGAATCCAAACTTCTGAAAGTTCTTTAAATCTGAAATGATTCCATCCTGTTCAATAAATGATCAGTGTTTTTAATTCAGAGTAATTTTCATGTGAATGTGCTTTACTGGAGGCATCCATGTTTGTCAAAGAACACTACTGCCACCTACTGGTTAGTGACGTCACGGTGCGGTATCGGCTGTTGATCAAGTCCCAGTGCTGTATCTGGTGTTTGTCACAACGCGCTATTATCCAAGTCATCTTGAAAACATTCTTCTTCCAAATGTTGGCTACATATTACGGGTTTTTTCTCTGGCCAGAAGTTCGATGGCAAATCCTCCCTCTTCAAGTTGGCGATCCAACGACCAACCCGTCCGTGGAGGATCAGGAATCAGAAAGGTGGAATAACTCTTTTTTCCACTTTTACCCGATGTATTCCAGCATCCAGCTGCCATGCACGTGGGCATTGTCAGTTTCACTATAGCTCTGGTGAATTTCAATGGTGAAGTCCTCTGGAAATCTTCAATAATTGTTGTTGATTGCAGATGCGTCTAGTAGTTCCCATTGATTTAGCTTGGAAAGCGGGGAGAATGGCGCTAGGCTTACCGCACCGTGACGTCACTGCTGGAAGATGGCAGGAGGGAGGGGCTACTATATTTGGGCAAAGATGGCCGCTCCCAGACTCAGTGATCGCGATGAAAATTATTATTTTATTTTTCATACTGATTAACACTAAATTAATTAAATCACTTATCGCATATTAGTTTAGTATGGAAGAAAAACAGCCTCATTTTTTGATGAGTGAATTTTGAAAAATTTTTTAACAAATTAATTTCCTTGCTCTGAATTTTTATCTGGTAAAAAATCAGCTGTAAAAAGTGTCTGGAGTTCACCAAAGGTCAACACATTTGCAGTCGAACTTTTTACACAGAATTTTTACCAGAAAAAAATTCAGTGTAAAAAAAATTCAGTGTTTAAAATTTAGTGTTAAAACTTCGGCAGATTCCAATGAGCCTGTTTTCCTTCCATACTTTAGGTATAAATATTGATCCATTGATCATTTTCTCGCTGACCGGACGTCTTTAACAGGCGAACAATAATGGTTCCTTCATCAGGAACAGCCACTGGTCGCCATTCCTCTGATTCAACCCAAACATCTGCAGACAGAGGCGAGAAGAGGGGGGGTTTACCCAGAGAGGCGTAGGATCCTGGGGGAAGGGCGGCCGCAGAGCTGAACGGCGAGGAGGCGGGGACGCTGGACAAGCGGGACTTGGCGCTGGAGGCGGCGTTCACGTCGATGTCGCTACGGGAGCGCTGCAGGGACCCAGGTGTGGAGGAAACCCTGGTACCCACCAGTTTACCTGGAGGGGGACAGAGAGAGAGATGTGTACAGCTGATGGGGGGGGGGGACCTCTCTGATGTCTGGGCCTCCATCATCTTCTAGAAAGGTCTATGAAGGACCCTTCAGGCTCTCTGGAGCTCCTCCAGGAGGTCCAGGAAAGCTTCAGGGTTTTTAACAGGCTTGGCCCAGATTCAGCTAAAGGTTCTGAGGCTTTAGAAGTTCTGGACGGGCTCGGTCCAAACACACTTACTTCTTGAAATGCTGCCTCCAATCAGACTCTTCACAGATAAAGGTCGGCTGGAACAAAGCAGACGTGGAAGTTAGTTCAGGTGGAAGAACATTCTCCAGGATCCAGATTAAACATCTCAGTTACTAAACTAATAGACAGCAGGTAAATGAGGAGGGGAGCAGGACGGAGCTGCTTACTTCAGGCTCTCCTGGGAGGACGAGGAGGAGCGGTCCGACTGAGGCAGAGACACGACGCTGTCCGAGCTCCTCAGGTGAGACTGGAGCGCCTTCTGATAGGTGGACTCCAGCGCCTGGAACAGAAGCTCCGCCTCACGGCTGTAGTGGCCATGGAAACCCCAGTAACACCTGACACAGGTAGACCAGTTAACCAACAGGTAGACCAGTTAACCAACAGGTAGACCAGTTAACCAACAGGTAGACCAGTTAACCAACAGGTAGACCAGTTAACCAACAGGTAGACCAGTTAACCAACAGGTAGACCAGTTAACCAACAGGTAGACCAGTTAACCAACAGGTAGACCAGTTAAAAAACTATTATGTTAACAAGTTGACTTAAAGGTCAATTGCTCAGCTAACACTTTTAAACTGAGATGTAGACCAGAACCTGAAACAGATGAACCAGTTAACCAACAGATGAACCAGTTAACCAACAGATGAACCAGTTAACCAACAGCTAAACCATTTAACTAACAAGTAAACCAGTTAACCAACAGGTAAACCAGTTAACTAACACGTAAACCAGTTAACCAACAGATAAACCAGTTAACTAACAGCTTAACCAGTTAACTAACAGCTTAACCAGTTAGCCATAGCAGATCAGGCTGATCACATACTTCCTTGCGATGGACCTGGCCTCAGAGTCGGCATCATGGATTCCCTTCCTGATGGTCTCTGTCAGCAGAGCCACGTGCCTGGAGGGACATGGGAACATGATGATCAGAACTCTGGAGAAGATCGGGGTTCTGGAGGAGATCGGGGTTCTGGAGGAGATCAGGGTTCTGGAGAAGATCAGGGTTCTGGAGAAGATCAGGGTTCTGGAGAAGATCGGGGTTCTGGAGAAGATCGGGGTTCTGGAGGAGATCGGGGTTCTGGAGGAGATCGGGGTTCTGGAGGAGATCGGGGTTCTGGAGGAGTTAGCTGATAGATTTCGGATGTAGAACAACAATCTCCTGAAGGACCAGATCCTGCTCAGTCCCACTCCCTCCTCTCGTCTCCTCTTCCCGGTCGATGTGAACAGCCTCACGGTTTTCCTCCTGCTTTTTGACATCTCCCCTCCCGTTGTCATGGTTACAGGAGTAGGAATGTGTCTTTCGGCTGGAAGAGCCGATGATGAAGGAACCGGGAGGATCCATAAATTAATCTGGGCTCATCAGGAGCTCACCGAGCCGACGCCTTACTGACTCAAATGCCACCCTGGGAGGGAGGAGGAGGAACTCCTGATGAACGAGGAGCTAAGGAGCAGGAGGCCGTCCAGAACTTACCTCTCCAGCGTGTTGGTGTGCCACTCCTGCAGCATGAGGTCCAGGAACTCATAGCAGCGCCTGCAGGGAGGACAGAAAGAAGACGAGAACCTCTGAGCAGAGTTTACTGGAGGAGGAGGAGAGGAGGAGAGAGGAGGGAAGGAGAAGCAGGAGGAGAGGAGGAGCAGAACGATAAGAGGAAGGAAGGAGGAGAGGAGAAGAGGAGCAGCAGGGTGAGAAGAGGAAAGGAAGGAAGGAGACGAGGGGCATCAGGATGAAAGGAAGGAAGGAGATCAGGGACAGAGGGACGGAGGCGCTGCAGGAAGACGGTTAGAGGAGCTGGTACCTCCTGACAGCCACAGACTTGGAGGAGCAGTTACTGGTGATGATGGGGATGAGGCGGGGGTAGTGGGTGTGCTGAAAGAGAAACACAGGCTTTAGTGTTCGGGTCGATCAGCATCACGCCGTCCTCCTGGACCGCAGCCTCACCCGCAGGATGAGGCGGATAGCCGCCATCCCTGACGTGGCCATGACCTTGGCGCTGTTGGGTACCAGGTTCAGCAGGGTGGGCATGACGCTCTCCGCTCCGTGGTCAAATTTGTTGTGCAGCACCGAGGACAGATGCCTGGTGGAGACAGAGGGACAACAGGAGACGTGAAGGACGAACAGCGTCTCAGATAGAATCCATCCACATTAGAGCGAAGCAGAAACGCCTCAGTAGCGTCCCCACTCAGCCAGGGGTGCCAACACCGTGCCATACCTCAGGGACATCCTGAGGCTTTACAGGATAAAGTAGTAACATTACGGGAATAAAGTCGTAACACTACAACAATAAAGTCATAACATTACGAAAATAAAGTCGTAAGATTACGAGAATAAAGTCGTAACTCTACGAGAATAAAGTAGTAACACTACGAAAATAAAGTTGTAACAGTATGAGAATTAAGTCGTAACACTACGGGAATAAAGTCGTAACACTACTAGAATAAAGTAGTAACATTACGAGAATAAAGTTGTAACATTACGAAAATAAAGTCGTAACACTACAAGACGACATTATTCCCGTAGTGTTAGGACTTTAACACTACGGGAATAATGTCGTAACACTACTAGAATAAAGTAGTAACATTACAAGAATAAAGTTGTCACACTACGAAAATAAAGTTGTAACACTACAAGAATAAAGTCCTAACACTACGGAAATAATGTCGTAACACAACTAGAATAAAGTTGTAACACTACGGAAATAAAGTTCTAACATTACGAGAATAAAGTCATAACACTACGAAAATAAAGTCATAACACTACAGGAATAAAGTCGTAACACTACTAGAAAAAACTCGTAACATTATGAGAATAAAGTCATAACATTACGAGAATAAAGTTGTAACACTACGAGAATAAAGTTGTAACACTACGAAAATAAAGTTGTAACACTACAAGAATAAAGTCCTAACACTACGGGAATAAAGTCATAACACTACTAGAATAAACTCGTAACATTACGAGAATAAAGTTGTAACATTACGAGAATAAAGTTGCAACACTACGAAAATAAAGTTGTAACAGTACGAGAATAAAGTCATAACACTACGAGAATAAAGTCATAACACTACTAGAATAAACTCGTAACATTACGAGAATAAAGTTGTAACATTACGAGAATAAAGTCGTAACACTATGAGAATAAAGTTGTAAGCAATCAGAGATCAAAGATTAAACCCTGCAGCCCTTAGAGGTTAAACCCTGCAGCCCTCAGAGGTGAGAGGTTAAACCCTGCAGCCCTCAGAGGTTAAACCCTGCAGTCCTTAGAGGTTAAACCCTGCAGCCCTCAGAGGTCAGAGGTTAAACCCTGCAGCCCTCAGAGGTTAAACCCTGCAGTCCTTAGTGGTTAAACCCTGCAGCCCTCAGAGGTTAAACCCTGCAGCCCTCAGAGGTCAAACCCTGCACCACTTAGAAGTCAGAGGTTAAACTCTGCAGCCCTCAGAGGTTAAACTCTGCAGCCCTCAGAGGTTAAACCCTGCAGTCCTTAGTGGTTAAACCCTGCAGTCCTTAGTGGTTAAACCCTGCAGTCCTTAGTGGTTAAACCCTGCAGCCCTCAGAGGTTAAACCCTGCAGTCCTTAGTGGTTAAACCCTGCAGCACTAAGAGGTTAAACCCTGCAGTCCTTAGAGGTTAAACCCTGCAGCCCTCAGAGGTCAGAGGTTAAACCCTGCAGCCCCCAGAGGTTAAACCCTGCAGTCCTTAGTGGTTATACCCTGCAGCCCTCAGAGGTCAGAGGTTAAAACCTGCAGCCCTCAGAGTTTAAACCCTGCAGCACTCAGAGGTTAAACCCTGCAGCACTCAGAGGTTAAACCCTGCAATCCTTAGAGGTTAAACCCTGCAGCACCCGGAGGTTAAATCCTGCAGCCCTCAGAGTTTAAACTCTGCAGCCCTCAGAGGTTAAACCCTGCAGTCCTTAGTGGTTAAACCCTGCAGCCCTCAGAGGTTAAACCCCGCAGCCCTCAGAGGTTAAACCCTGCAGCCCTCAGAGGTTATAAACCCTGCAGTCCTTAGAGGTTAAACCCTGCAGCCCTCAGAGATCAAACCCTGCAGTCCTTAGAGGTTAAACCCTGCAGCCCTCAGAGGTCAAACCCTGCAGTCCTTAGAGGTTAAACCCTGCAGCCCTCAGAGGTTAAACCCTGCAGTCCTTAGTGGTTAAACCCTGCAGCCCTCAGAGGTTAAACCCTGCAGTCCTTAGTGGTTAAACCCTGCAGCCCTCAGAGGTTAAACCCTGCAGTCCTTAGTGGTTAAACCCTGCAGCACCCAGAGGTTAAATCCTGCAGCCCTCAGAGGTTAAACTCTGCAGCCCTCAGAGGTTAAACCCTGCAGTCCTCAGAGGTCAGAGGTTAAACCCCGCACCACTTAGAGGTCAGAGGTTAAACCCTACAGCCCTCAGAGGTTAAACCCTGCAGCCCTCAGAGGTTAAACCCTGCAGTCCTCAGAGGTCAGAGGTTAAACCCTGCACAACTTAGAGGTCAGAGGTTAAACCCTGCAGCCCTCAGAGGTTAAACCCTGCAGTCCTTAGTGGTTAAACCCTGCAGCACCCAGAGGTTAAATCCTGCAGCCCTCAGAGGTTAAACTCTGCAGCCCTCAGAGGTTAAACCCTGCAGTCCTCAGAGGTCAGAGGTTAAACCCTGCACCACTTAGAGGTCAGAGGTTAAACCCTACAGCCCTCAGAGGTTAAACCCTGCAGCCCTCAGAGGTTAAACCCTGCAGCACTCAGAGGTTAAACCCTGCAGCCCTCAGAGGTTAAACTCTGCAGCCCTCAGAGGTTAAACCCTGCACCACTTAGAGGTCAGAGGTTAAACCCTACAGCCCTCAGAGGTTAAACCCTGCAGCCCTCAGAGGTTAAACTCTGCAGCCCTCAGAGGTTAAACCCTGCAGCCCTCAGAGGTTAAACCCTGCAGCCCTCAGAGGTTAAACCCTGCAGTCCTCAGAGGTCAGAGGTTAAACCCTACAGCCCTCAGAGGTTAAACCCTGCAGCCCTCAGAGGTTAAACCCTGCAGCACTCAGAGGTTAAACCCTGCAGCCCTCAGAGGTTAAACTCTGCAGCCCTCAGAGGTTAAACCCTGCAGCCCTCAGAGGTTAAACCCTGCACCACTTAGAGGTCAGAGGTTAAACCCTACAGCCCTCAGAGGTTAAACCCTGCAGCCCTCAGAGGTTAAACTCTGCAGCCCTCAGAGGTTAAACCCTGCAGCCCTCAGAGGTTAAACCCTGCAGCCCTCAGAGGTTAAACCCTGCAGCCCTAAGAGGTTAAACTCTGCAGCCCTCAGAGGTTAAACCCTGCAGCCCTCAGAGGTTAAACCCCACACCACTCAGAGGTCAGAGGTTAAACCCTGCACCACTCAGAGGTCAGAGGTTAAACCCTGCAGCCCTCAGAGGTCAGAGGTTAAACCCTGCAGCCCCCAGAGGTTAAACCCTGCAGCATCAGAGGTTAAACCCTGCAGCCCTCAGAGGTCAGAGGTTAAACCCTGCAGCCCTCAGAGGTCAGAGGTTAAACTCCGCACCACTCAGAGGTTAAACCCTGCAGCATCAGAGGTCAGAGTTTCTCTGGTATCACATCCAGCCTAAATGTGTCAGAAGCAGGAGGACTCAGCATGGCGTCCTCCTGCTCCATCCATCAAGCAGCTGCTCTTTAGCTCCATCTGGTCTCTGTTCCACCTCATCTACATGATGGATGCTTCCCAGCAAAGCAGAACCTAATCAGCCGCGGTTCATGTTGGCCCCGCCCCCTTACCCCAGCGTGATGCAGGCCTCTCGGACCACCTGGGAACGCAGATCTTTGGCTGACAGCTTCAGAGGAGCCTCCAGCAGCCGCAGCTGCTGAGGGAAGCCATCGTAGTCAGCGGCTCCGGCTAGGATGAGCGACCGGACCCTCTTCAGCTGGAACAGAAGGGTCAGAGGTCAGTGGCGGTCTGTGGGAAGCAGACGGACCCTGGATGAAGCTGAGAGGGCTTACCGCCACCACCCGCTGCTCCCAGTCATGTTTGTCATCAGACAGAACCTCCCTGGTCTTGGTCAGCTGGTCCTCCATCTCCCTGTTAGAGTAGATCTACAGCAGGCAGAAGCAGCACTGGTTAGCTCTACCTGAAGGTTCCTTCACATGCATGACCCCGCCCACCTGAAGGTTCCTTCGCATGCATGACCCCGCCCACCTGAACGTTCCTTCGCATGCATGACCCCGCCCACCTGAAGGTTCCTTCGCATGCATGACCCAGCCCACCTGAAGGTTCCTTCGCATGCATGACCCCGCCCACCTGAAGGTTCCTTCGCATGCATGACCCCGCCCACCTGAAGGTTCCTTCACATGCATGACCCCGCCCACCTGAAGGTTCCTTCACATGCATGACCCCGCCCACCTGAAGGTTCCTTCACATGAATGACCCCGCCCACCTGAACGTTCCTTCGCATGCATGACCCCGCCCACCTGAAGGTTCCTTCACATGCATGACCCGCCCACCTGAAGGTTCCTTCACATGAATGACCCCGCCCACCTGAACGTTCCTTCGCATGCATGACCCCGCCCACCTAAAGGTTCCTTCGCATCCATGACCCCGCCCACCTGAAGGTTCCTTCACATGCATGACCCGCCCACCTGAAGGTTCCTTCACATGCATGACCCCGCCCACCTGAACGTTCCTTCGCATGCATGACCCCGCCCACCTAAAGGTTCCTTCGCATGCATGACCCCGCCCACCTGAACGTTCCTTCGCATGCATGACCCCGCCCACCTGAAGGTTCCTTCGCATGCATGACCCCGCCCACCTAAAGGTTCCTTCGCATGCATGACCCCGCCCACCTGAAGGTTTTTTCGCATGCATGACCCCGCCCACCTAAAGGTTCCTTCACATGCATGACCCCGCCCACCTGAACGTTCCTTCGCATGCATGACCCCGCCCACCTGAAGGTTCCTTCGCATGCATGACCCAGCCCACCTGAAGGTTCCTTCGCATGCATGACCCCGCCCACCTGAAGGTTCCTTCGCATGCATGACCCCGCCCACCTGAAGGTTCCTTCACATGCATGACCCCGCCCACCTGAAGGTTCCTTCACATGCATGACCCCGCCCACCTGAAGGTTCCTTCACATGAATGACCCCGCCCACCTGAACGTTCCTTCGCATGCATGACCCCGCCCACCTAAAGGTTCCTTCGCATCCATGACCCCGCCCACCTGAAGGTTCCTTCACATGCATGACCCGCCCACCTGAAGGTTCCTTCACATGCATGACCCCGCCCACCTGAACGTTCCTTCGCATGCATGACCCCGCCCACCTAAAGGTTCCTTCGCATGCATGACCCCGCCCACCTGAAGGTTCCTTCACATGCATGACCCGCCCACCTGAAGGTTCCTTCGCATGCATGACCCCGCCCACCTGAAGGTTCCTTCACATGCATGACCCGCCCACCTGAAGGTTCCTTCGCATGCATGACCCCGCCCACCTAAAGGTTCCTTCGCATCCATGACCCCGCCCACCTGAAGGTTCCTTCACATGCATGACCCGCCCACCTGAAGGTTCCTTCACATGCATGACCCCGCCCACCTAAAGGTTCCTTCGCATCCATGACCCCGCCCACCTGAAGGTTCCTTCACATGCATGACCCGCCCACCTGAAGGTTCCTTCACATGCATGACCCCGCCCACCTGAACGTTCCTTCGCATGCATGACCCCGCCCACCTAAAGGTTCCTTCGCATGCATGACCCCGCCCACCTGAAGGTTTTTTCGCATGCATGACCCCGCCCACCTAAAGGTTCCTTCGCATGCATGACCCCGCCCACCTGAAGGTTTTTTCGCATGCATGACCCCGCCCACCTAAAGGTTCCTTCACATGCATGACCCGCCCACCTACCTGGACCGACGGCACGTCGTCAAACGCTTTGATGAAGTCCTCTTCGTCCACAGCTCCAGCTGCGGCTTCTTTACCTTCACAGAGGAGATGATTAAAGATGAAGCTCAGCTTCCTGCTGCTCTGCCCGACCTTCACCCTGCAGCAAGCCTCACCTGTGGACTTGGTGGATGAAGCAGAGCTGGGTCTCCTCACCGAGCTCACTGCCGGCCTCCGCCCACCAGGAGGCGCCTTGGAGGACGAGGAGGAGGAGGACCTGCCTCCGTCCACCGAGTCTTCATCCTCAAAGTTTTTATCTGCAGAAGAAGAAGAAGCCGCTGGTTTAAACTCCACGCTCTGATCAGAGAGGACCTTCAGAGTGTTTCAGCCCCTCAGCCTCCACATGGAGCCCAGAGGTCTTCTCCAGGTCTGAGAAGATCTGAAGCTAATGGATTGTTTTTGTTTTTTACTTTTTTTGGATGATTATGACCTTCATGACTGAGAATCTACACCAGCAGTCTAGTTTCTTCTAACCTAGCCCAGACCATCAGTCCTCCACCGCCGTCCGGGACAGCTTCTGTGTTCTGGGTTGGTTCTGTCCCTCATGGCCTCCAGCAGTTGGGTCCAGGTTTTTCAGGGTCCTGACCTTTGACCTCTGACCTGTAGCCTCTAGGTTCTTATCAGACTTGTGTTCAGCTGTTCCCCCACAGTCCAGAACTCTGGACCTGGGTTCAGAGTCCGGCTTAAAGCGGGTCGGCTCTGACCAGCCGGGCTAAAAATAGCTGCTTCCTGATAAGCAAAGGAGAACATGGAGTAGCTCCACATGGAGCATCAGAGGCATCAGCACTGATCCCAGATCTATCAAAGATTCACACCAGTTCATGGAGCGGTGCCAAACTGGTACCGCTCCTGTGATGAACAGAGACCTTCACCTCCACCAACTGTCCCACTGAGGAGGACAAAGTCCCTGAAAACTGGGAGCCGCTCCAACGGCTGGAAACTGCAGAGTCACTATGAATCTGCTTCTACAGCCAAATTTAGACCAAGAGGAATATTTTCCCCTGAAAAACAGCCTCAGTCCCATGTTTATGGGAGAAACTGGTTTGATCCTGGTTCCTCTGAATTAGGATCGGCCCGGGTTCAACTGATCGGCCCGGGTTCAACCGATTGGCCCCGGTTCCCCCGATCGGCCCGGGTTCCTCCGATCGGCCCCGGTTCCCCCGATCGGCCCCGGGTCCTCCAATCTGCCTGGTTCCTCCGATCGTCTCGGGTAGCTCGATCGGCCCAGTTCCTCCGATCGGGATCTGCCTGGTTCGGAAGCTCTGAGCTGCTGAATACAGAATCCTGTTCAGCTCTGCTCATGCGTTCTTCAACAGCAGAACCCATTTCCAGGTTCTGATTTGGTTCTGAAACCAGTGAGTCCATCAGCGGCTCCAAGGTGACATCATGAGATAGGAGGGGCCACACGGGGAGAGGCAGCATGTCTTTATTCCAACTTGCAGAAAAATGATGGAAGAAAAAAAAAGGTCTAAGCCACACCTCCAGCGGCCCCCACCCCACCTACTGCTGAGGACGCCACAGGAGACGGCAGGCAGAGAGGGACAGAAGGAGAACTCACCAGAGCCAGAAGACGGGACCATGTTCCCAGATCTTTGGACTTCATCGAATCTGCTGAAGATCACATTCAACCTGTCAGAAACACAGAGGTAAAGATCAGAGTCTGAAGAGGCCAAGAACTGAAGGATCAATAACAGATCAATAACCCATGAATAACTAATCAATAACTGATCAATAACTGATCAGCTTCATGAAGAGTCCCTAAAAGTTTGACCAAATAAGGTCAAAGCTGCAGTCCTCTGTCAGTCCACCGGGGGTCGCTGTGTGACATTAAAGAGGAGGCGTACCGTGACTGAGGAAGGCCCTTCTTGCTGAGGTCCAGCCTCACCCTCTCCCCCACGTGTCTGTAGATCTCCACCAAGCAGCTCATGGCTGCATCTCGCACCTGCAGACAAACATGTCATCAGTCTGACGCAGGAGCTTCAGATGGACCCAAACCAGTGCTGCTACTGGTCCGACCGACCACCAATCAGAACCAGTTCTGATGGATACAAACCAGTGCTGCTACTGGTCCGACCGACCACCAATCAGAACCAGTTCTGATGGATACAAACCAGTGCTGCTACTGGTCCGACCGACCACCAATCAGAACCAGTTCTGATGGACACAAACCAGTGCTGCTACTGGTCCGACCGACCACCAATCAGAACCAGTTCTGATGGATACAAACCAGTGCTGCTACTGGTCCGACCGACCACCAATCAGAACCAGTTCTGATGGACACAAACCAGTGCTGCTACTGGTCCGACCGACCACCAATCAGAACCAGCAGGCACAGAGAAATGTTGGAATATGATCCGATTCTGAGCTCCTGAAACCCCAAAACCTCCTTTAATTAGCGGTCCAGAGCAGAACCTCCATGTTCAGGGACTCCAAGGAGCTCCTGTTCAGGACCTTTGGACCTCCAGGACGCGGAGCAGCAGGTGAAACCTGCCTGCTGCCCTGAGAGGGACGCTGTGTCGTATGAAAAAGCTGGAAATAAATCTTTTTTATCGGGTCTGAGGACGGTTTGGGTTCAATCTGGGCTCTGGAACAGTTCTGAGGACGGTCTGGGTTCTGGGACGGTTCTGAGGATGGTCTGGATTCTAGTCTTTACCTGGCTGGTTGGGTCCCCCAGCAGGTTGCAGATGTGAGGGACGATCTTACTCAGCGTCAGGCCCTGAGCTCCGTACCTGGAACACAAACAGAGGTTCTGTTCTTAATCAGAACCCAACAGAACATAAAGTCCAGAGGAGCGGGTTCTGCTGGCGGGTTCTGCTCACGTGTTCAAAGTGGCGATGAGACAAAGGCACACTCCCTCTCTGGTGCGGTTGTTCTTATGCTTAAAGCCTCCCAGCATTCGGTCCCAGACGTACTGAAAGCAGAAACAGAGTCGTCGGCTGTGTCCATCAGAGACACTCAACCAGGCTAACGTTAGCGTAGCGCTGTGACTGAGTAGACTGACCACTCACAGCGTACGCTAACGTTAGCGTAGCTCTGTGACGGAGTAGACTGACCACTCACAGCGCACGCTAACGTTAGCATAGCGCTGTGACGGAGTAGACTGACCGCTCACAGCGCTACGCTAACGTTAGTGTAGCGCTGTGATGGAGCAGACTGACCACGCTAACGTTAGCGTAGCGCTGTGACGGAGTAGACTGACCGCTCACAGCGCTACGCTAACGTTAGTGTAGCGCTGTGATGGAGCAGACTGACCACTCACAGCGCACGCTAACGTTAGCGTAGCGCTGTGACGGAGTAGACTGACCGCTCACAGCGCTACGCTAACGTTAGTGTAGAGCTGCGATGGAGTAGACTGACCACTCACAGCGGTACGCTAGCGTTAGCGTAGCGCTGTGATGGAGTAGACTGACCACTCACAGCGGTACGCTAGCGTTAGCGTAGCGCTGTGATGGAGTAGACTGACCGCTCACAGCGGTACGCTAACGTTAGAGTAGAGCTGTGACGGAGTAGACTGACCACTCATAGCGGTACGCTAGCGTTAGCGTAGCGCTGTGATGGAGCAGACTGACCACTCACAGCGCACGCTAACGTTAGCGTAGCGCTGTGACGGAGTAGACTGACCGCTCACAGCGCTACGCTAACGTTAGTGTAGAGCTGCGATGGAGTAGACTGACCACTCACAGCGGTACGCTAGCGTTAGCGTAGCGCTGTGATGGAGTAGACTGACCACTCACAGCGGTACGCTAGCGTTAGCGTAGCGCTGTGATGGAGTAGACTGACCGCTCACAGCGGTACGCTAGCGTTAGCGTAGCGCTGTGATGGAGTAGACTGACCGCTCACAGCGGTACGCTAACGTTAGAGTAGAGCTGTGACGGAGTAGACTGACCACTCACAGCGGTACGCTAGCGCTAGCGTAGCGCTGTGATGGAGTAGACTGACCACTCACAGCGGTACGCTAACGTTAGTGTAGCGCTGTGATGGAGTAGACTGACCACTCACAGCGTATGCTAACGTTAGCAAAGCGCTGTGATGGAGTAGACTGACCACTCAAGGCGGGATGCTAACGTTAGCGTAGCGCTGTGATGGGGCAGACTGACCACTCAGTCTCCTGAGTCGTTGGTTAGATTTCAGCAGGAGAGCAGGGTGCGTCCTCTAACAGTGAGGGACAGGCCGTCCCCGTCCACAGCCGTCCAAACGGCAGCTTTAAGCTGCAGGAAGCTGATCCTGACCTACCTGAGGAGACGCAGCCTGCTCCATGATCTTTAGCAGCAGAGTCTGGTCCTGCTCTCGAACTTGATCTTTGGCGTCTCCCAGTCGATCGATCAGGCTGGGCAGAACTGGAAGATGAACAGAAGCAGGAGACTCGGTCAACATGTCTATCAGCGAATAATAATCCCGCCTCTAATCTGAGGAATGGAATATCAACCAGCTTCATCTTTATAAACGTCTCTACTTGATCCATTATTATATGGATTAATTATACAAAATGACAATAAAAGTTTACGTCTAATCATTAAATGCTAAAAAAAAAAAAGCGATCAATCCGCACACAGAGGTCAGCAGGAAGCCTGGGGTTAGTGCCTTGCTCAGGGGCCACTGACATGAGGAAGCTGGAATCAGCCCCACAGTGTTTGGACTCCAGAGAACTTCCCATGGGCGTCCCAATCAGAGAGGAGGGAAACAGGTCATTGCGTCTCCATAGCAACCATCAGACTCCGCCTACAGGCTCCCTGGTTGTTAAGGTGGAATGAAGGATTTTTCTTTCTGTCGGACCTGTGAGTCTGATCAAAACACGATGTGGAAAAGCTTCCGATGGGCACGGTGGAGGACGACAGATGCTGTGGGCCTGGCGGGCCAGGAGACACCCTGTCTACTTTAAGGCTAGGCTTAAAACTTTCCTTTTTGATAAAGCTTCTAGTTAGAGTGGCTCAGGTTATCCTGAGCTATCTCTATAGTTCTGCTGCTATAGGCTTAGACTGCTGGAGGACATAGGGACCCCTTTTTCATCATTCTGCATCATTCTATCTCTATTCTCCCACTCTGCAGAATCTGTTAGTTCAATCTCTAACGTTCTGCTCTCTCTGCTTTTTCTCATAGTAGCTTCATCTGGTCTGTTCCTGTTTGGCTGTGACTCCATCCTGGAGAGAAATATCAGCTGTGCTGCTGCCATCAACACCTTTGTTTCTAGATGTTGGAGCTTGGCCTGTTTTCCAGTGTAGTCCTGTTTCTCTGACTGTGACTAACTGGATGTGCTCTCTTCATCCTCTGACGTGGGAGCTGGCTCGGAGCTCGTCTGCCTGGCTGTGTGTTTCCTGGACGGGGCCGCCTGTGGAGCTGGTTGACAGTTGCCTTTAGTATCTATGCTTCTTTTTCTATGTCTGCTTCTGTCTCCTTGAACCCCAGTGGGCCTCAGCAGATGGCCGCTCACACTGAGCCTGGTTCTGCTGGAGGTTTCTTCCTGTTCAAAGGGAGTTTTTCCTCTCCACTGTCTCTACAAGCATGCTTAGTGTGAGGGATTGCTGAAGAGTCAAGAGAACCAAGTAGAAGAAACAGTTTCACCATTTTCTAAGTTAAATCTAATCTGAACTGAGGGAGCTTTACCTGTCCCGATTTGAGCCCGGAATCTGTCCTGTAACCGGGTCACCAAGGCCGACAGGAGGTCCAAGCCCAGCAGATTCACCTGTAAGCAGATGAAAGAAACATCTGGAACATCTGCAGAACATCAGCTTTGATTCAACAGGGGTCAGAGGTGACAAAGACTTGCAAACAACACGATGAAGACTGTAGCAAACGAGGTGATCAAGTTTCTTAGCAAACTTCTACTGTCCATCAAAGACTTTCGGACGTAGAGTCGACTGAGCAGACGGTGGTTGGTTACTGAATGATCTAGCTGTAATCAGAACCACCTGTGATCAAACATCAGGTTCTAGATCTCTAGAGGGGTTCCACAGGGGTCGGCCTTTGGACCGATCACTATCCAATCAGTGCAGCTGTGCATCTTTATGCTGATGATTCAGTGCTTTACTTATCCAACACAGCAGGCTCAGCTGGTTTTGGTTTGGAGGCCTCTTTGTTTCCTCAATCTTCCCTACTGTCACTCCCTCCCGCAGTGCATCCATGGATTTAGAAACAACCTATAAATATCTTGGCATGATCAAAGATTATAATCTAAACCTCATTTAAAATCTACAGAAAAAAAAACTAAAGTTAAAACACGGCTTATTTTGGCAAATTAAAAAAATGCTTCTTATGAAATGACAGAGAACCAGTTTCTTCCTCCTTTATGAGTATTTAATATGCAGATGTAATATGTAGATCTGCATGGAGGCTTCAGCAGCTCCTCAGGTTCATTACAGTCACTCATCATCCCACCTTAGCCTCTTAGTAAAGTGACCTACAGACTCAGACTGACAGCTTTCATCAGACCCATCATGCAACGTCTCACATATGAAGGATCTCCACCACCTTCATCTTCAGGAGTGAATTGAGTCTCAACAGATAAATAAATAAATAGAAGATAAAAATATAATTGAATATTATTCTATAAAAAACTGACTCTGACTCTGGGTATTAATCAAAGCCTGTTTCTTTAAAACAATCCAATGAGATGAAAGAGAACCTCCACCAGAACCTGATTCTCAGGACATCTGCTCAGCTGCCTCTGCTGCCCTCTAGTGGACCCAACATGCCACACAGACATCATAGAGCCGCCAACCTCCTGGGAGGCAGAACTTTGTGACTGAGGGGGAAGTGCTGCCAGATTGCATCAGGATTCCTCTCAGACATTTCATTTAAATTCCAGTGACACTTTAAACATAGATCAATTTTATCAGAACCACACAGCAGCAATCGATGCTAAGGATAAAAGACTATGCTTAGACTATGCCGAGACTATGCCGGGACTATGCCGGGACTAAGCTGAGACTAAGCTGGGACTATGCCAGGACTATGCTGGGACTATGCTGAGACTAAGCTGGGACTATGCCAGGACTATGCTGGGACTATGCTGAGACTATGCTGGGACTATGCCGGGACTAAGCTGAGACTAAGCTGGGACTATGCCAGGACTATGCTGGGACTAAGCTGAGACTAAGATGGGACTATGCCAGGACTATGCTGGGACTATGCTGAGACTAAGCTGGGACTATGCCAGGACTATGCTGGGACTATGCTGAGACTATGCTGGGACTATGCTGGGACTAAGCTGGGACTAAGCTGGGACTATGCCAGGACTATGCTGGGACTAAACTGGGATTATGCCAGGACTATGCTGGGACTAAACTGGGATTATGCCAGGACTATGCTGGGACTATGCCAAGGCTATGCAAGGACTAAACCGGGATTATGCCAGGACTATGCTGGGACTAAGCCGGGATTATGCCAGGACTATGCTGGGACTAAACTGGGATTATGCCAGGACTATGCTGGGACTAAACCGGGATTATGCCAGGACTATGCTAGGACTAAACTGGGATTGTGCCAGGACTATGCTGGGACTATGCTGGGACTAAACTGGGATTATGCCAGGACTATGCTGGGACTAAACTGGGATTATGCCAGGACTATGCTGGGACTATGCCAAGGCTATGCAAGGACTAAACCGGGATTATGCCAGGACTATGCCAGGACTATGCTGGGACTAAACTGGGATTATGCCAGGACTATGCTGGGACTAAACTGGGATTATGCCAGGACTATGCTGGGACTATGCCAAGGCTATGCAAGGACTAAACTGGGATTGTGCCAGGACTATGCCAGGACTATGCTGGGACTAAACTGGGATTATGCCAGGACTATGCTGGGACTAAACTGGGATTATGCCAGGACTATGCTGGGACTATGCCAAGGCTATGCAAGGACTAAACCGGGATTATGCCAGGACTATGCTGGGACTAAGCCGGGATTATGCCAGGACTATGCTGGGACTAAACTGGGATTATGCCAGGACTATGCTGGGACTAAACCGGGATTATGCCAGGACTATGCTGGGACTAAACTGGGATTATGCCAGGACTATGCTGGGACTAAACTGGGATTATGCCAGGACTGTGCTGGGATTATGCCAAGGCTATGCTGGTACTAAACTGGGATTATGCCAGGACTATGCTGGGACTAAACCGGGATTATGCCAGGACTATGCTGGGACTAAACTGGGATTGTGCCAGGACTATGCTGGGACTATGCCGAGGCTATGCTGGGACTAAACCGGGATTATGCCAGGACTATGCTGGGACTAAACTGGGATTATGCCAGGACTATGCTGGGACTAAACCGGGATTATGCCAGGACTATGCTGGGACTATGCCGAGGCTATGCTGGGACTAAACCGAGATTATGCCAGGACTATGCCAAAGCTATGCTGAGACTATGCTGGGACTAAACCGGGACTAAACCGGGATTATGCCAGGACTAAAATGGGATTATGCCAGGACTATGCTGGGACTATGCCGAAGCTATGCTGAGACTATGCTGGGACTATGCCAAGGCTATGCTGGGACTAAACCGGGATTATGCCAGGACTAAACCGGGATTATGCCAGGACTATGCTGGGACTATGTCGAAGCTATGCTGGGACTATGCGATGATTAGGAGCATTTTCAGGGATTATCAATGACCCCTGACCCCTCCATCACTATATGGTGGATTTTATAATGACTCCGTTAACTGACCGTTCGGACAGATCAACAATACTTTTTTTGCTCCCTGTTAGTCACATGACTCTGGCTCCTCCCACACTGTCTGCGCCATCTTTACTCTCTCGCCCAAACAATAAATCCCATGATGCTTTGCGGGAAGAGCTCTAGCAAAGCATTCTGGGATATATCTGCTCATCTAGTGACCATGGTTGATCACTACTTCTGAAGGTGCATTGTGGGGGATTAGGACAGACGTTTGGACACAGCGAGCCAATGAGTGGTTATCAGCTGATCGCTGCTCAAACAGACCGACCCAGCGGACCCACGCCATCCCAGCTCATCAGGGAGAACTCTGACGCAAAAGGAAATGGCAGCACGGTTCTAAAGAAACACAGGAAACGTATAAAATTAAATTTAAATGGCTGATTCTGGCCAATAATAAACTGCAGTGGTAGATGTGCTGCTTCCCCAGAAAATCTTTTTTTTTTTTTTTCGGCTCTTACGTGACAAATCAGTGTTAAATCAATAATTGATTGACCCACTGGCTGAAGCTGCTGCAGGACCAGAACAATCCATTAAATTCATTCATAATCTGAGATAATCCAGCCAGCATTCAGCTCAAAGCTGCCTGGATGTCCTCATTAATCTGATCAATCTATCCATCAAACTCAAACCTCATTTCAACATTTCTTCTTCCGCTCCGTCGGCTGAATGAGATCCATCAGCTGGTTTATGTGAATCCGTCCATGCAGCGCGTGGAGGAGGAGCCTCAGATGACCTTCTGAGGTTTGGACCTGCAGAACCATCAACCAGGATGGAGACCAGGCCGGACTCTCCCAGGAGACCCAGCAGGCCCGGTTCTGTGTCTGTTAAACTGGACTCCTTTAACTCTTGACAGAACAGTGAAGCTCAGCTGCCTCTTTAACATCAGATTGATTTTTATTAAATATCTACAAATCCAGGAAAGATGACATCATCATCATTCAGTGATGGTGATTGGCTGAACTGGACTCAATTTTAAGATGCTGAGCTTCCCTGTGGAGCAGTTTACTGTAGGAACAGACAGACGACTTTAAACTGGGCCGATATTTAATGCCGATATTTAAGGTCAATATCAGCCAGTACGCGTTCAGTGATTCATTCGTGTGCTTTGAGTTCATTCTTTGCTGGTTTCCATCTCCCACCGCTTTTGATTAAGTTTTGTTTATTAATAAAGTTTTATTTCTGTATATATGGACATTTTTTTTTTATCATTGAGTATTTTTATCACATAAAGGAAGGAGAAAAACCCAACAATATCTGCTCCAGTAATCGGCCCAATAAAAACCCCACAGAACAGATCGGTGAAGTGATAAAACCATCCGTCCCCAACTGGATCTGGTTCTGGTCAGAACCTGCACAGATACTCAGGGTTAAAATAATCCAAAATAATCTCTCTAGATTATCTCTCAAAAATATGAGAGTTTACTGAGAAAAGATCATTTCAGCAATCCAAGTTCTGGACATGAGGAAGAAAGGCAGGGGAGAGTATATTTCAGTGGCATGAAGGTAAAATTATTAAACATAAAAGGAAAATAAAACTATTGATGAGATGAAAGGAATCAATGGATGCTGAGCTTTTTCTAATAACCAGGAGTGATGCTAAGCTAAATCTGCTAATCCCAGTAAAGACGAGGCCTCTTCCTGGAGACCGACTGATACAGGTGCTTTAAGGCCAATAAGTGCTGCCAATTGATGAAGCTGATGTTTCTTCATCTTCCTCCAAAGATTAAAATGGTGCCTGCAGCGTTACACCAGCCTCCCTTTAAACAACAATCAACCTTTATTAACAAATCAGAGCAAACGCTGACAGCAATGAAGGAGCAGCGATGGAGGAGCCTCATCTGATCCCAGGTCATCCTGAGTGGACTGATGGATCAGCTGGATGATGCTGGTCCAGAACCAGGACCAGACCAGAAACCTGAAACCAGAACGCCCAGCACCAGCAGAGCCCCGCAGGAACTAAGAGCCCGCAGCATGACTGCAGAAAGGACGGGTCCAAAGATGATCCGTCCTTCAGGCTGAGAACTGATGGTTCTGGTCCAAAAGCAAACATCAGAAGATATAAGCAGAACTTTTCTGTCTTCAAACCCAGCAGCAGCAAACAGGAAGCCCAGGATGAACCTCCAGGACTTTCCTGGTTCTGGTTCAGGAGGAGAAGCTGAACCGGACCAGAACAGAGTCCAGGCTTCATCCCCTGATGGACAGAAACACCTAGCAGCTAAACATGGAGACGTTCAGCAGGAGCAGAGCGTCCCTGAGGCAGAACCCGGCCCGGTCCGACGGGAACCACGGGACGGGCCGAGACGTGAGCCCAGACGCCCCACAGGCCCGGCAGACTGACAACAGCAGCAGGAGGAACTCTGGGTCCAAAAGCATCTGAGCCGCTCAGGGTTCCATCAGCAACACAACCGGAACTGGAACCAGAACCAGAACCGGAACCAGAACCGCTGCTCTGACTCTGCTTCACACGGCGGCGGTTCTGAGGAACATCAGAGGAACCTGCTGGGAGGTCCATCCTCTGCTGAGGCTCATGGAGAGGCCTCAACCCGTCCAGAACCTGAAACAGAACCTGCAGAATCTTCTCCTGACAAGTCTGCATGTTCATTGGGTCAAAGGTCAAACCTGAGAAACATGGCCGCCGCTGCCACCCAGCAGGGGAGCCAGAACCAGCAGCTCCTCACCAGAACATCAGCCATGCTGACGACTAATCACAGCGTCACCATGGAAACCCAGATACATTCCTCAGCCAGTGGCAGAGGTCAATGGTCAAAGGTCAGGGCCGGCTCTGATTGGACGGGCTGCAAACCACGAATCAGAGAGCAGAACCTGGAGGATGAAGGAGAGACATTCCAGAGAAATCTGAGCTCGACAACGAAGACCCGGAAAATCCAGTCTGACGGCAAACGGAGCTCTTATTGACAGACGGAGGAGGAGCCGACCCACACCCAGCCGCTTCCGGAACCATCAGAATCCGCTGCATCAGAACCCGCTGCTGCATCAGAACCCGCTGCATCAGAACCCGCTGCTGCATCAGAACCCGCTGCATCAGAACCCGCTGCTGCATCAGAACCCGCTGCATCAGAACCCGCTGCTGCATCAGAACCCGCTGCATCAGAACCCGCTGCATCAGAACCCGCTGCTGCATCAGAACCCGCTGCTGCATCAGAACCCGCTGCATCAGAACCCGCTGCTGCATCAGAACCCGCTGCTGCATCAGAACCCGCTGCATCAGAACCCGCTGCATCAGAACCCGCTGCTGCATCAGAACCCGCCGCTGCATCAGAACCCGCTGCATCAGAACCCGCTGCATCAGAACCCGCTGCATCAGAACCCGCTGCATCAGAACCCGCTGCATCAGAACTTGCTGCTGCATCTAGAACCCGCTGCTGCATCAGAACCCGCCACTGCATCAGAACCCGCCACTGCATCAGAACCCGCTGCATCAGAACCCGCCGCTGCATCCAGAACCCGCCGCTGCATCCAGAACCCGCCGCTGCATCCAGAACCCGCCACTGCATCAGAACCCGCCGCTGCATCAGAACCCGCCGCTGCATCCAGAACCCGCCGCTGCATCCAGAACCCGCCACTGCATCAGAACCCGCCACTGCATCAGAACCCGCTGCATCAGAACCCGCCACTGCATCAGAACCCGCCACTGCATCAGAACCCGCTGCATCAGAACCCGCCGCTGCATCCAGAACCCGCCGCTGCATCCAGAACCCGCCGCTGCATCCAGAACCCGCCGCTGCATCCAGAACCTTCTCTCAGCTACTCTGTCAGCGGAGTTGTGAGCAGACCTCAGGGAGCCTCAGCTAATCCATGCCTGCAGCTTCTGCTTCACACAGAACCAACAAGCTCTACATTCTAGCAGTTCTACAGAGCGGCCCAAAGACTGCAGATAAAAGAAAAGATAAACAGTCCGGAAACGGGTCACTCTGTTCCTCCCAGAGGAGCAGAAAGTTCTGGATTATTAATCAGAAGTTCTTAGAAAAGGATCGTTTTTGAAAAAGGTCAAATCTGCTCATTTTAAAAAGGTCGTTAAGAAGATAATTAATATGCCTGGAAAAGGAGGCAGAGCCAGAACATGATGGCGTCTCCATGGTTACAACCCCCAGTCATCACACAGCAGAACCGGACCCGACTGTCCGCTGTAATCAGATGGTTCTGGTTGTGGTCCCTAATAGCAGATCCGCTCTGAGGCGGGTCGCTAAGACAGCGACCTTCTGGAACAAAGGTCCTCTAGCTCTAAGCTGTCCCACCGAGGGACGGGATCCACAGAACGTCTGCTTCTGTCCCAGTGTGAGAGCGGAGGCTAAATCTGATCCTAACCAACACACCCTGCTGATCCCACTGAACAAAGCACGGTGGTGGCAGCATCATGCTGGGGAAACCTAGAGGGGGGTTGGTAGAAAATGGAAGATCCTGAAGTGGAGGTTCAGGTTCACCCATAGACACCATGGATGGTTTGGATCAGAACAGAACCAGAACTCGAAAAAGAATCTGACCTGCTGACCTTCTGCCTGACGCTCCCTGACCTCCGCTGTCACCATGGCAACCTGTCTGACGTCTGATTGTTAATCAGCTCAGCAGCTTCAACAGGCAGACGTGCAAAAATTCATCCATAACTGATGCTATCGCACAACAACTGAAGGTTGGAAACAAAGGCTGTAAAGTTGTTTCTCTGAACAGTAGCTTAATGTCTCCCCTCCATGTTGGCGCCGGAATCCATCGCCTCTCTGAACGTTTCACATCAGCTGATCAGAGCGCCGATAAGATGGCTTCTGGGTAAAAAGCTATTTTAATTCAACAGCCCACTTCCACCTTAAAAAAGTCCACTTCCACCTCAAAAAACAAACGGTCCACTTCCACCTTAAAAGAAAGCCCACTTCCACCTTAAAAAACAACAGTCCATTTCCACCTTAAAAAAAAAACAGTCCACTTCCACCCTAATAAACAAACTGTCCACTTCCACTTTAAAAGAAAGTCCACTTCCACCTTAAAAAACAAACAGTCCAATTCAAACTTAAAAAACAAACAGTCCAATTCAAACTTAAAAAACAACAGTCCACTTCCACCTTAAAAAACAAACAGTCCACTTCCACCTTAATAAACAACAGCCGACTTCCACCTTAAAAAACAAACAGTCCACTTCCACCTTAATAAACAACAGCCCACTTCCACCTTAAAAAACAACAGTCCACTTCCACCATAAAAACAAACAGTCCATTTCCACCTTAATAAACAACAGCCCACTTCCACCTTAAAAAACAAACAGTCCACTTCCACCTTAATAAACAACAGCCGACTTCCACCTTAAAAAACAAACAGTCCACTTCCACCTTAATAAACAACAGCCCACTTCCACCTTAAAAAACAACAGCCCATTTCCAGCTTAAAAAAAACAGCCCACGTCCACCTTAAAAAAAGTCCACTTCCACCTTAAAAAAAACAGCCCATTTCCACCTTAAAAACAAACAGTCCATTTCCACCTCTGATTTCTGAGATTCTCTTCTTGTCCCATTAAACTCTGAGGACAGTTTTCTTCTTGACTCTCAGTAATTTTCAGAGACGGCTAAAGCTAAAGCTAACAGGACATGTCAACCATACAACAGCTGAAAGAAACGCTGCAGAGCAGAAGATAAGAGGAACTTCAACCATCCTCATAAATACACCGACCTGATAATACCACCTTAAATAGACCAACCCGAAAGCACTACAGGAACCAGGACTGGAGATGAAGCATCAGCTGCATGAAGCATCCATCTACAGGTGGAACTCAGCCTCTGCTTCATCCAGCAGCGTGCTGCGTTCAGGTGCTGCGTTCAGGGTGCTGCATTCAGGGACACAACCAGCGGTGCTGGGCCTCAGACAGAACCTCTTCCAGCAGCTCCCCTCCCAGCTCAAATTCTAACCAATCAGAGCAGAGGAGGACTGAGCAGCCATCAAACTGGAAATCAACTAAACCAGTACAGAACCTGCAGAGAGTGAGGGAAAGCTGAACTGGGTCATGCAGCCAACCAGCGGTTCTGGTCCAGTTGGGTCCACTCAGAGCCGAGGCTCAAAGCTGGGGAGGTTCTGGAAGCCCGATCTGCTGATTGGACCCAGAAGAACATCAGCCTCACTGGTTCTGACCTCTCAGGAGGTTCTGCTCGGCTCTCTGAGGTCCGGATCTGATGGACCTCCCCAGGTTCCCCCGCAGGTTCCCCCCCAGGTTCCTCCCCAGGTTCCCCCCCCAGGTTCCTCCCCAGGTTCCCCCCCAGGTTCCCCCTGAGACTCCGGCTCACCTTGAAGTTGCTGGAGTTGACCCAGGAGGTGGCAATCCCGTCCACCATCCGGTCCAGCGCCGTCTGGTCCTGGTCCAGGTCCGGGGACTTGTCCCGGTCCAGAATGTAGTCGATGATGTCCTGACCCGTTTGCAGGCGCCGGCCCACATCCTTCTGCAGAACCTGGGCCAAGCAGCTCTCCATGCTGGGCTCCATCTCCTCAGAGGTCCTACGCCGGGACCACCGGGCTCAGCAGGTTCTGACCCGGAGGCTTAGTAGGTTCTGACCCGGAGGCTCAGCAGGTTCTGACCCGGAGGAGGACGAGTCCTGGTGGCCCTCTGTGCTGCTGGCTGGGTCCGGCGGCGGTGCCGTGAGCAGAACCCCAGCTGGTTCTGGTGGGCGGCAAACGGGTCGGCTCAGGGCTCCAGGTCTTCCTCCTGAACCGGTCCAGAGACGTCCTGGAAGAGACCAACACACAGTGAGAGTCTGAATCCCGGATCAGAACCAGGAGACCCGGTGTGTCCAGTGGGACAGACGGGGTGCAGCAGAACCTTAAAGAACCTCCTCTGGCTGCTGGATGGAGACCATCTGGTCCCCCACAGACTGGGCTCATGGTTCTGATCCGATCCAAACCAACGCGGCCCTCCCTAGTTCTGATGGAGCAGCAAACATCTAACAGGTCAGATGGTTCTAGAGCTCACTCCTCCTTAAAGGTCCAGTTCTCCACCTGAGCTGTAGAACCTCCAGAACCTGGTAGACCCATTTCCTCTCCATGATCAGAACTCAGAAATCATCTAGAACCCAAACCTGCTTTAATCCAACCAGAACCTTCTCCCTGCTGGGTTCCTCCGTGGTTCTGGAGATTCTGGTTCCTTGTTAGGAGAACTCTGAGGTCCGATCAGAGGAACCAGAGACTGGGAGGACCCGGGTACTGGACCGGATCCACCGGAGACATCAGGACAGAGAGGGACCAGGTGGAGCAGACCCAGACCATGATACCACCTCCTAGCACCCAGAACACCTGAGACCTGACAGGTTCTGGGTTTGAGACCAAGATCCAAACGATTGGCTCCGTCTGATTGGACCAAAGCAGAAACCAACTGCCAGAGTTCTACCAGAACCTCAGACGGAACCGATGGAGCTCCTCAGACGGTTCCATCTGGTCCAGTTGGACCTCCTCAGACGGTTCCGTCGGGTCCAGTTGGACCTCCTCAGACGGTTCCATCGGGTCCAGTTGGACCTCCTCAGACGCTTCCGTCTGGTCCAGATGGAGGCCCTCAGACGGTTCCGCCGGGTCCATCGGGTCCAGTTCGAGGTAGGTCCTCAGACGGTTCCGTCTGGTCCAGTTGGAGTTCCTCAGACGGTTCCGTCGGGTCCAGTTGGACCTCCTCAGACGGTTCCGTCTGGTCCAGTTGGAGGTCCTCAGACGGTTCTATCGGGTCCAGTTGGAGGTAGGTCCTCAGACGGTTCCGTCTGGTCCAGTTGGAGGTCCTCAGACGGTTCTATCGGGTCCAGTTGGAGGTCCTCAGACGGTTCTATCGGGTCCAGTTGGAGGTCCTCAGACGGTTCTGACGGGTCCAGTTGGAGGTCCTCAGACGGTTCTATCGGGTCCAGTTGGAGGTCCTCAGACGGTTCTGACGGGTCCAGTTGGAGGTCCTCAGACGGTTCTATCGGGTCCAGTTGGAGGTCCTCAGACGGTTCTGACGGGTCCAGAACTCCTCAGCTCCTGTGACTATGGTTCTACATCAGCCCTGAAACCGGATCTTCTCCCTGATGGTGTCGGTTCTGCAGAACTTTCATCTGGACTGAGCAGATCTTTGTTATCTGATGGTTAGGTGTATTAGATGTGTACAGATCTATGTCAGCCAGATCTATGATTGTGGTTCTGGAATGACTGCTCTGCGTGATGCAGCTCTGCGGGGAGTCCAGACTGACCCGGTGAGGTCTAGGTGTGGTCCCGGTGGTCCAGTGCGGGACTCCCCCCCACCCCCCCTTTGTGCGGCGCTAGCTCCGCTCCAGCTAGCGGGCTGTCAGCCCTCCCCCCTCCCCCCGGTTGGTCCTGGTCCCGCAGAAATCCCTCCGCCTTTGATCTCAGTCCCGCAGACACCTGAACCCCCGCACAGCCCCCCCCAGCCGACAGTATGCGGGCTTCCGGCCGCAGCTAGCTACCTTTGAATGAAACGTCAGTTCGCAGCAACAAAAGAAAAACCTGGGAGAGAAAAGCCGAGAGGAGCAGCTTCATCATCCGCCTGGACACTCACCATAACCCGCCGGAGCCTCTCCGGACATCCAGCGCTTCGTGTCCGGGAACAAAGCGTCAGGCGCGGCCTCCAATCTCTCCAGTTTCTGCCTTTCTGTCAACAATCCAGCAGGAATGAGCCTGAAGGACAAGAATGGGGATCGTGCTGCGCATGCGCAGTCCGTCCAGAGATGATGTTGGCATTTGGAGCGCCGCTGCCCGGCAACCACGTCTCTGGCGGCCTCTAGTGGCCAAAAAGTGACAGCGCATTTATGGTGCTCATTGTGTAAAGAATTTATTCTTAAATATAAACTGTTAAACAGTATGGAGGACCAGCTCTACCATATTTAAAAATAAACTAATAAATAAATGCTCTATAAATAAATAAGCATATAATTAAATGCCCCCAAAATACAGTAAACATAAATATGTAGGTAGAAATGAAATCATAGTGAGACAAATGTATAAATTATGTATTTATATTTATTTATTCGCCTTTGTAATAATAAACTTATTTACTGTCCGTTTTAATCTTTAACTATATTAATTACTTTTTTAAGTATTTTTATACATGATATATTTTTGTGTTTTATTGTTCCTTTGTATTTTTTTACCCTTTTTATTTCTGCCTGTTTTTATATTTCTGCCTCATTATGTAAATGAGGCAGAGCTCTGTCTTGGAAGGTCAACTTATGCTTATTTAGTTATTGAGCATTTATTTATTTCTGTATTTATTTTTTAATACAGTGGGTGAAATAAAGTTTTTATTATATCAAGCAAATTCAGCTTACATGACATCTTTTGAGGAATTAACGCAGAAATTTTATATAAATAGAAAATACTTCTTTAAATACCTTCAGCTCAGAAGTTACATTAGGACAAAAAAAAAAAAAAAAAAAAAAAAAATTTCTCCAAACCACGAAATCCCAACTAGAAGAAATTGCTTGCAAAGATAGAACGAGTAAAGTTGGGATTTCGGAATTCTACTTTTTGTTGAATTTCCCAGAGGACTGGAAGCCTGGAAATTAGAGCTGGAGGTAAAACTTTCACTGGACTGGAAATCTGTCTGTTGGAGGTCTCAGAAACAATCCGTTAAATCACGCTTAAGATGAATCTAAGTCACACCAATTTAAATCGCTACAGTCCTGACAGAGCAGATATATGCTGTAAACGTTTAGTTGTTTAATTGGTTCTGGGAATGCAGGGAAACTCCAGAGCAATAAAATATAGAGTAGAACATCGTCTCAAAGGATGTTGCTCTAGATCCAGTTTTCCTCATTTTAGGATTACGTCCAAAAAAATACTTTGTTTACCAAATGTGATCAATTATTGATATTTGTTTACTAAAAGACTTGAAGAAAATGACAGGAGCAGGTATGAAACACTGAATCTAACTCTGGAAGGCTTGACTTATCTCCAAAAAGGGAAAAGCAAATTATTTAAAAACATTTGGGGAACTTTGAAGGAGCGGACGTGTGAGAAGATGAAGAACCAAAGAGATTACTGTGGGACCAAAAGGCTCAACCAGGGAGAACAAAGCTTGTTACTTTAAATTTCCACAAAAATATAAAACAGCTGGGAAGAAGTTAATGCAAGATCAATAAAAGAGAGGAAATAAAAACTGAAATAACACTAAAAATGCCTCAGAGGGCTGCAACAGAAATTAGGTCCTGGTTGCCATGGTGACAGCCTCCCAGGACCATCATCGATTAAACACAGAAACGTCTCCTAAAGAGAAACAAAAAGTCCACGGCTAGTAGCCCCGAATTCACAACCAACATGGCCGCCGCACGTCTAAAGGACACACCGGAAAAAATCTAAAGCGCATTTGTTCTTGAATTGAGAAAAAAAAGAGACATTTTGCCAATTTAGATTTAAAATAAAACTATTCAGTTTATTTCTATAGTGCCAATTCATATCATGTCATCTCAGGTCACTTTATAGATCCAGATCAACCAGATCATCCAGTCAGATTGATTCAGTTTTTTCTCTCCAGGATGGAGTCACAGCCAAACAGATGAAGCTACTGAGAAAATGATGATAAAGGGGTCCCTATGTCCTCCAGCAGTCTAAGCCTATAGCAGCGTAACTATAGAGATAGATCAGGATGACATCATCAGGAAAGAAAAACACATCGTCTTATTTCAACTGCATATTATCAAATTATCTTAAGAGTAAAAATATGAATTCTATTGGCAAATTATCTCTTTTATCGACTCAAATCAAGGATAAATAAACTTAATTTTAGACATTTTTACTTATTTCTGAGCTCGTTTTAAAAGTCTCCTCCTGTCGGTGCGACGGCTCAGTTCTCCACAGCCTCCAATGATGTAATAGTTTGGTCAGAAATGCAAAATCATCTTTGACAAAATCAACATTTTCTAAAGAGGAAATGGGAAAGAAAACCTTCAATAATCAGAACTTAGGATAAAAATATAGTTTTAGTAAAGAATGGAAGAAAAGGTTGAGTGAAAAGGCTTTTATTAACATCAGCCTCAGTCTGCAGGTTAAACACTTTGCTGCTGCTGTTTGTTTCCTCTTCATTAAAGGTTCTGGTCCATTTGGACGGGTTCTGATGGACTCAGAGGTTCTGATCAAACCATCGACGGTTCTGGACCGACCGGCGCCATCCGGCTTCATGTCCTCCGGGCCGGTACCGCCCCCTGCTGGACTCCTGGGGAAATTCTTCAATGGTGGAAATAAATTTGGGGTAATAATAAAAGCGGAAACGGGAGCGGGACCGCGCTGCTGCTGGGCCCGGTTCTGATCCAGCTGGACCCCCCCTCCCCCCCACAGTGGGCCCGGTTCCGATCCAGCCGGGACCCCCCTCCCCCCCGCAGTGGGCCCGGTTCCGATCCAGCCGGGACCCCCCTCCCCCCCGCAGTGGGCCCGGTTCTGGAGTCCCGGCAGTTCTGGTTTGTTCTGTGGAAGCGGGCCGAGCTGCGACTGTCCCTCATTGTCCAAGTCGTCTTCAGAACCTTGAAGACATTCACTGGGTCTCCTCCTCTTCTTCATCATCATCTTCCTCCTCTTCATCACTCCCCTCCACCACCTCGAAGCAGTCTTCATCATCATCGTCACCGTCGTCCTTCACAGCAGGCATGTTGATGACGATCTCCTCGTCGTCGTCGTCTTCGATGACTATGGTGGATTTCCTCCTCTCCAGGAAAGACGGCGTGCAGACGGGCGTGGCGTCCTGTGGAGAGAGCACAGCGGGTCAGAGGCCCCGCCCACTTGGCTTACCTGCTGATGTGGGGGCGTGGGTTTTACGGTGCCGTCACAGAGAGTCGGGCCATAAGCTTAACGCCCCGCTGTTTGCTCTGGGCCCGGTTATCTGAGCCGGCGCCACGGTAACGGGCCGGCTCATTTTCAGACCGGGCCCGTAGAACCCGGGCTGCTCTTACCTCGCTGCACGAAGAAACATTGACGTCGTTGGAGGTCTTCTGAGGGAGCTGGGCCGCCTGGAGACAAACAGGAAGCAGACGTTAGAGACCCGCGGGTCGGATCCGCTCCGAGTTCAGGAGGATTCCAGGAAGGACTTACGAATCCCGGGAAGTCGTAGTGGACGCCGCGCTCCGCCAGCTTTCGCCGCAGTTTGGACTCTTTGCGCAGCAGGCGGCGGGTCATCTGGGCCAGCTGCTCCGCCGAGCGCTTCCTGTTGTAGCGCGCCGCCGCCGGGTCGCACGGGCGCCGGAACATCCGCTGGGAGCCGACAAACAGCTTCTCATGGACCTTCTCTGGGGGGAGGAGCTGACCTGGAAAACAGAAGCACAGCAGGCGGGTCAGGAGAGCCGGGTCCAGGATTGAGCCGGGCCGGGTCCAGGACCGGGCCGAACCGGGTCCAGGACCGGGCCGAACCGGGTCCAGGACCGGGCCGAACCGGGTCCAGGACCGGGCAGAACCGGGTCCGGGCCCATGTGGTTCTGGGCCGCTCTGCTCACATTTGATCAGCCTCTCTCCCATCAGGTAGTTGTTCATGGTCTCCGCGACGATCTTGGCGACTTCGTCACACTCGAACTCCACGAAGGCGTAGCCTTTGCTGCCCCCTGTCTGCAGGACGAAGAACCACAGGTCAGCCTTCAGACATGTTTCCATGGTTACCAGAGACCTCCAGAAGCACAGCAGCTCTGAGCTCAGGCCCGACGGTCCCAGGTTCTGATTTATGACCCAGTTTGTTCAGAGAACATCTGGATTCAGATCTCTGTGGCCCCATTTCCACTTCCCTCTGAAACCGATCTGTGCCGACCTCGGTTCCTCGCCTCCTAGTGGCGATCTACGGTACTACTGCTCTCTAGAGGTAAACAAGCAAACCAACATGGCGGCGCCCGTAACATTCCGGAAGTTTGCGGAGAATCAGGCGAAGAAGGCCGCCGCTGGTGGATTTTCTTGACAGAGTCGACTTTTGGGGAGTATAAACGACAAACGATCGTCTGATCGGGGATTCCAGACGTCGAGGTTTCAAAGGTTAGTGGAAATGGGGCTATAGTGGCCCAGAACATTCTCTGCTGAAGCTGAACAAGCTCTGCACTGGTGGCTGCAGCGGTTCCACCCAGGTCCACCTGATGTTCCCCACCTGAAGCCCGCCGTGCAGAACATACGGAACCCCAGAGGAAACCCATACAACCGGGGATCAGGAACCACCCGGCCCCCAGAGGAGCGCTGCTGTCGGTACCTGGGTTTCATCAGGCTGCCACAGACGGAGCAGCAGATGAGCTTCATGTACCAGAGTTCTGTCGGCCCAATCATCTGACCTCAGGACACCGTTAGAACCTGAGGCCACTTTCAGTGTGAGCCAAGAAGCAGAGAGGAACGTCATCAGAACATCTTCTGATCCTCGGATCTGTTACCTTTTTGCTCCTGGAGAGTCGGAGTCGCAGGACTTTCCCAAACTGTTCGAAGTAGGACCTGAGCTGCGGCTCGAAGAGGCCGTGAGGAAGATGGGCCACGTAGAGAACGCCTGGAGTCAGACGGCTGCCCTGCAGGAGAACAGAACACGCTGCTGTTAGAGAGGCGGGTGGTACCGCTCAGAATCTGGGTCCGATCTATGACCAGAACCAGAACCAAACACACAGAAGCACTTTCAATTATTCTGCTCCGTTAATCCGGATCAAACTCCTGACCAGCAGGTGGCAGCAAAGCACCTGCAGGTTCAAATCAACCGCTATTAAATTAGAGAAGACAAAGAACAGAAACCTGAAGCTTTAACTTTAGAAAACATTTCAGACGCAGCTAATGAAGAGGATTAGAGCTAAAATAATAATAAAAGTTAACTGGTTTTTACTTTTTATTTCAGTTTATTGAGGAAAAAAGTCTCATACTATACTTAAATAAAATTTCCCCCTAAATTTATACCTTACATGTTTACATTATTTATCGGCTTCATCTTAAAATATCAAAGATAATTTCAATTTAAACCTGGATATGAAATAATACAAAATAAGCTATAATATTTTAAACTACATCATTGCATTAGGTCAGTGGTCTGCAACCTGCCGCTCTTAATAGTGGCTAATAAAGGGCTAAATAATGTATCGTCATAAATACCAGTATTAACAGCTTTAGTGTTTATTTATAAGATAGAAAATGATGAGAATTAAACCTAACACTAGCCTACTGTCAGGAAGAAAAAAGGAGCCACTAGCCATTAAAAACATAAACGGCCTGTGGACATGAAAGGTTGCAGAGCGCTGCTACAGGTCATTGATTCAGTTCAGTTTATTCTGTCCAATCAGCTGCCTGTAGTGTCTCTAAATGTCCAGCAGGGGTCAGTATTCTTTTCTCACAGATGAAACATACACACATTTATTTAGCTATAGAATCCATTCACCTAGACGCAGCTTTATTCTTCCTCCTACATTCTGGTCTTGGTCCAGATCTAGCCAGGGGCCAACGGGGGCCAGGGCCCCTGTAGATCATGTCCTGGCCCCTGCTATGGCCCCTGTACTGCAGACATGATACTAATAGATATTCTACTGATGGTCTGTGCTGGAACAGACATGGTTACTGATTGGTCCTTTAGATCCATTTCATCTTTTTTCTTTATAAATTCTGTTTTATTAATTATTAAAATCAATAAGGTGATAAATTCAGTGGGATTCAGACAGTTTTTATCTGCTAAATGTTTTTTTTAAACAAATTGCTCTAATTTTTACGGCTGAATTTATCAGCTTTTCATGAGTTCTAATTCAGATTTTATAGAAACTGTAATTTTAAAAGATTGTAATATTCCTAAACCCTGAATGTATATTGACCCAATAAGACATGGAACTTTAATTAAACCTAATTAAATAGAAACGTCACTCCATGCGGCTCTATTAATATATTTTAATCCCTTCCTCTGTTCTTTATATCGTGCTTTTCTGGCCCCCCTCGTGGCCCCCTGCTACATCTAGTGTAGCTTCGCCACTGCCTCCAGGGCCCCCAGGAACCTCGTGTTCTTCAGGGCCCCACGGCTCTGCGGGTTCAGCATGAGGAACCGAACCCCCCCCGGTAGCTGCTCACCTTCTTGGCCCGGTTCTTCTTCACCTCCTGGACCTTCTTCTTGAACTCGGCCTCATGCTCCGGGTCCAGAGCCAGAAGCTCTCTGGGTCTCTGGGAGGAACTCTCCGCTTTGCTCTCCGTCATCTTCAGCTCCAACAGCCGCTGCTGCTCCACAACATGTGCTGAGAGGAACGGAAGGAGCGGTCTGCTCCGGAAGCTCACAGCGCCCTCTGCTGGCCGGGGGGAGAACAACCAAGGACCCCGCATTGACGCGGACGTGATTTGGTGGCGCCATCTTGGGGAGGTCTACAGCTCCGCTCAGTGTAATGTGTTGATGAGGAACAGGATAAAAATGAATCAACTTTAACTTTCTGAATATTGAATTCATTTTCACAGATTTTTCCCCCGAAACAAACAAATGGGTTAGTTTATTTATACATATATATTTATATTCTGGAAATGCTCCCCCTCAATTGTCATAATATGACGTTTTTCTCATAGTTTAACCAATTGTGGCTTTTTTTTTACTTAGTATTTTTATCTCTTTGATACTCCCTTTATACTATACTTTAATACTTTTATCTCTTTAATAAGTGTCCTTATTTTTTATGCTAAAGTTCTTTCCAGGTGGTGTATAATCTATAGCAGGTGGTTCTATTCATCAGGTGGTTTCTGAAAGTTACAGCTTCTTTAAAAGTAAACTGAAAAAGACACAGAAATGTACTGATATTAGAAAATTTAAATAGCATTTTTGAATACTTAAGTACTTTTAAAACCATGTACTTCAGTATTTTCAAAAGTGAGTACTTCAGTACTTTAACTTGAGTAGATTTTTGACCGAGGATAAACTTTTACTTGTAGATGATAAAGTTTTGACTATCAATTATTTTACTCAAGTACTACTATTACCTGATGGCACAGGCATATTCCAAGATGACAATGCAGGATTCATCGGGCTCAATGGTGAAAGACTGGTTCAGGGAGCATGACTCATCATTTTCACACATGGATTGGCACCACAGAGTCCAGACCTCAACCCCATTGAGAATCTAGAGAGGGCTTAGCGCAGCGGTCAGACTCTACCATCATTAATGCAAGATCTTGGTGAAAAATCTCACCACTCTTTGGTCATTTTGGGAGATTCTCTCCTATTCTGCATACCCAAATGGAAAAGCAAACAACTTAAGAACTGTAAGCCCAAATTACAGGTGTAATACGTTATTTTAAAAGCTAACACCTTCTAGTTTCTAAATGTTTAAATAGGAATTAGGTGAGTCAAACACAGCCTAAGCTGCAGCGTTCAAACATGACTCAAAGTTGTTTTTTTTATTCTTGAAAATAAAGGTATATTTTAAACAACAGTAATAAAGACATGCTTTAGAATAGGCAGGTCTCATTGTATTACATTTTTTCTACATCAGGTCAGCCATAAATGCAGAAAACTTCAGACCTCTAACTATAACAGTTCCAGAGCTGTGCGGCTTCGAACCTTTGGCATCACCAGCGTCTCCAAATCTCTCTAATTGTGCCAAATGCTTTCATTCAACTACTTGACCCATAGAATAACACTGAAGCATTTTAATGGCCAAAAAACATTTATGAGGCAAATACTTTCCACTTTTTCAGTGCATATAACAAAATGTAAAATTTATAAACCTACAATCACATAAAAATCTATAAAAAAAAATGTGAAACTGCTGCTTTTTAAGCTAAAATAAGCCCCACATGTCTTTATTGGTGAATATTTTACTGTTGTAATTTTCATGCGCTGTTAGTTATTAGATCTAAATGCTTTGAAACTGGTCGCCAGCGATTCGGTGGGTTTAAATTTATTTGATTTAATAATATGAAGGCAGATTATTAAAAACGAACCATCTAAAACCTTTTTATGCCTAAAGATGAATAAAAGCATCCAGATGATTCATGTTCCTCCATCGGTGAACGAAGGTCTTTTTATTTTATCCACATTCATGATGAATTATTAGAAAATCGGTCTCTTTGCCTTTTAATCTGAAATGAAGTAAAATAATTCTAAAAAGTTTCAGACTTCTGATGAGAACCAATAAAATCTGTAGAAAAGCGACGCGGAGGCAATAAATGCTGGGATTTGGCTGCTGGGATGGATGGAGGGGAGGAGGGAGGACGAAACAAAGGAGGTGGAATAATGAGGAGATGCAGATCAGCTCTCAGAGCCGCAGCTGCTCCTCAGCTCATAACATGGCTTCAAAAATCATTTACTTCACGGTGAACGGCGTCCCGGAGCGGGCCGAGTTCCCGGAGGACTGTCCTGCTCAGGACATCAAAGGTAGGTCAGCGTCACCACTCAAAGCTCCAATAATGGAGCTGGACAGTTTTTCATCTTTAGTTCCTCTTTTATCTGCTTAAAGCGAATCAGTCTGAAAAACTAAACCTGGTTCTGGAGCAAAAGCAGATCATGTAAACAGAAGCAATCAGGGAGCTGGTTCTGATCCAGATGCTTGTTACTGTTTGGAGGGAAGAACTGAGAAGAACATCCTAGAACCATGAGGAGAGGAGGGACGGGTCAATCCTAATCCCTAGATCGTTTTTTCTAGATCTGTTCCGTTCTGCAGCTGAAGCCGGACCCCATGACATCCTGAAGCTCTACAACCCCAAAGGGAACATCATCAACATCTCCCCCAGCCTGGAGCCCAACGGCCCCGCCTCCTGCTACAAGCTGGAGGTGGTCGCTGCCGACTGCAACAGTGAGCCTTCCCGTCCCTCCGGATCAGAACCACGGTCAGCTCCCGGCTCTGCTGCTGACTGTCTCTGTTTGTCGTCCCTCCAGGCGCTGAGATCACCGGGGATCTGGGATTCCATCTGTCCTCCATGGAGAAAAGGTAGACCACCCAAATGAAACCTTATGAAGCTCTGACAGCACCATCTGATGACCCGATCCGTTCCAGACTGCAGAACCTGGAGAAGAAGGTGGTCTTTGAGGCCGGAGAGACGCCTGCGGCGGTTTCTGAGATGAAGAAGCAGGTGGACTCCTTCAGGGAGAAGCTGGAGGTAAAGGTTTTGGGTGAAGCCACAGGTTTCTGAGCTTCGCTCTGACCTGCTGGTTCGTTCCCGGGTTCATCTGCTCAGAGGGAGGAGACCTTCTGAAAAACAAACACCTTTCTGAGGCTTTAGCCCTAAAATGCTGCTGATTTCAGCAGCTGAGACTTTCTACCAATTAAATCAGTGATAATTTAAAAATTCTGGTTCTACCAGCAGATAATCTGATCAGATTAAGGCCAAATGTTCTGGTTTTTTGTAATGAATGAATAATTAATCTTCATCCAATCAGCTGATTTCAGCAGATGGACGGCCCGTCATAACGCAGACATACTTCACTATGAGTATTTATACTTATCAGGTGAAGTAGTCATGATTTATTCTAAATGATTTTATGTATTTTAATCATTTAATGGGACATTGAATGATTTAACGTACTAAAACAAATAAATATCTATCCACATACACTATATTGCCAAAAGTATTTGCTCACCCATCCAAATTATTGGAATCAGGTGTTCCAATCACTTCCATGGCCACAGGTGTATAAATTCAAGCACCTAGGCATGCAGACTGTTTTTACAAACATTTGTGAAAGAATGGGTCGCTCTCAGGAGCTCAGTGAATTCCAGCGTGGAACTGTGATAGGATGCCACCTGTGCAACAAATCCAGTCGTGAAATTTCCTCGCTCCTAAATATTCCACAGTCAACTGTCAGCTGTATTATAAGAAAATGGAAGTGTTTGGGAACGACAGCAACTCAGCCACGAAGTGGTAGGCCACGTAAACTGACGGAGCGGGGTCAGCGGATGCTGACGCGCATAGTGCGAAGAGGTCGCCAACTTTCTGCAGAGTCAATCACTACAGACCTCCAAACTTCATGTGGCCTTCAGATTAGCTCAAGAACAGTGCGCAGAGAGCTTCATGGAATGGGTTTCCATGGTCGAGCAGCTGCATCCAAGCCATACATCACCAAGTGCAATGCAAAGCGTCGGATGCGGTGGTGTAAAGCACGCCGCCACTGGACTCTAGAGCAGTGGAGACGCGTTCTCTGGAGTGACGAATCGCGCTTCTCCATCTGGCAATCTGATGGACGGGTCTGGGTTTGGCGGTTGCCAGGAGAACGGTACTTGTCTGACTGCATTGTGCCAAGTGTAAAGTTTGGTGGAGGGGGGATTATGGTGTGGGGTTGTTTTTCAGGAGCTGGGCTTGGCCCCTTAGTTCCAGTGAAAGGAACTCTGAATGCTTCAGCATACCAAGACATTTTGGACAATTCCATGCTCCCAACTTTGTGGGAACAGTTTGGAGCTGGCCCCTTCCTCTTCCAACATGACTGTGCACCAGTGCACAAAGCAAGGTCCATAAAGACATGGATGACAGAGTCTGGTGTGGATGAACTTGACTGGCCTGCACAGAGTCCTGACCTCAACCCGATAGAACACCTTTGGGATGAATTAGAGCGGAGACTGAGAGCCAGGCCTTCTCGTCCAACATCAGTGTGCGACCTCACAAATGCGCTTCTGGAAGAATGGTCAAAAATTCCCATAAACACACTCCTAAACCTTGTGGACAGCCTTCCCAGAAGAGTTGAAGCTGTTCTAGCTGCAAAGGGTGGACCGACGTCATATTGAACCCTATGGATTAGGAACGGGATGTCACTTAAGCTCATATGTGAGTCAAGGCAGGTGAGCAAATACTTTTGGCAATATAGTGTATCTCCTGGTCCATTTCTGTATTTTCTCATAAATGACAATAAATCCATGAGTGATTGTGAAAACCGTCTAATGACCATCGAGGGTCTGGACCTGCTTTAGGAAGCCGTGATCTTCATCAGGGAAGTTTGAACCTGAAGTTAGCAGGTCTGGTTGGACGTATTCAGTGTCTCCTCAGCAGTAGGGGTGGGAGGGGCTGATGCGTCCTTTCTGTTGCAGAGTGTGGAGCATCTCAGCTGGCTGGGCTTCTTCAAAGACCTCTCAGAGGGACGTCCCAAGCCGTCCCCGTTCTACCACAAGAGGAGTCTGCATAAGACCAGAGAGGAGTGTGAACATGTCAGGGAGAAGTTCCTGCAGATGAGGTCCCATGGGACACAGTAGACCCTGTCCTCTGCTTTCCTCTATTGTTCTCTATTGTCCTCTGCTGTCCTCTATTGTCCTCTGCTGTCCTCTATTGTCCTCTGCTGTCCTCTATTGTCCTCTATTGTTCTCTGCTTTCCTCTATTGTTCTCTATTGTCCTCTGCTGTCCTCTATTGTCCTCTGCTGTCCTCTAT